CTGCAGAGCAAAAAGATGAGCTGTCTCAATCTGAATGAGAAAAATCCTGCTTTGCCCGTGCAAATATAGCATGAGGGTTAAGTGAAAGAAATGAACTACAGTCGAAAATCAGAATAAAATTTAAAAAAAAAAATGAATTCTCCCAAATGAGCAGAAAATGCAGTCCTGTAGCAGGAGACAAATTATTATGAAAAGAAAGTGGTAGAAGGAAAACATCCTGTTCTGATATACACACACACACACATATATATCTCAATCAGGTATTTATATGTGTGACATCTTTGGGACCTTACTGGTGATTTCTCCAGCAGCTGAAGGCATGCATCCAGGAAGGAAAGCGACCTATCCACAGACTTCTTGGCCCTTTTCCTACTAACTTCCCCAGAAATGGTGTCTCCGTCAGAGATGCACTGGAACCAGTCTGGCTGGATAGCCCGCTGGATGTCCATGAACTTGGAAGCTGTTATTTCCATGCGCCCCGAGCTACCCCACACCGACACTGCCTGCCAAGAAAAAAGAGGGATGAAGGTTTGTGCAAAGATTAACAGACCTGTTAACCTGGTTAAGCACCAGATGCTAGAACGACACTACATAAACTCCCCAGAAGCATGGCTCAAGTAATCAGCTGTCCTCAGCACAATGAATGAATGATATAAATGACCAAGGTGTGATTTTGGGATACTCTTTGGTGAAACCATCACACGTACTCAGCACAGAAACTTCTCAAGTTGTTTGGAAATCTCTGAGATAGAGCAGCTGGGCTGGCCTATCATCAACCAAAATCAGTAGCAGAATTGGGAAAAAAAATGAGAAAGAATAAAAGATTTAATTGTTAAACTTATGTTTTCATCCCACGAAGAGCAGCAAAGGCTGTAATGGGAAATACAGCTCACTAGTTTTCTGCACACAATACAAAAAAGCAGCAGCTATTTCCTCTTCCAAGCACACAGACACACTGGGAAGAACACGAAAACCTGTTAGGCAATTTTATCTTAGAATCCAATGTTATTTTAGGTCTCAAATTCAGCTCCTTAAGGGATTGAAATATCAAATGCAAAAGAAATAGAATTTTTAAACCAAAAACCATAAGAAACGGTAGGCACAGTCTATGTTTTGTGTGCACACCGGCCCTCGTTTTCCATCACTACTCCATACTACCCTCATGAAAGATCTTAAAGCCAGACAAAGCACCTGCACAGAGAAGTTAAGGCACATGAACACATCTGGGCTAGCAGATATTAACATTTAATCCACCAAACCTTCAAGTCCACAGAGCAATACTGGAACCACTGCAACAATCCACCATATTTCATCCTATTCTGTGGAATTGAATGACTAACCCTTGAGTGCAGCTGGGCAGTTCCTTTCGTTATATTCTTTTTAGACTTTTGACACTGCTGCTCTAAAACTTTAAAAGGGCATTAAAGTAGGTTAAGTATTGGGCTTGAGTTATTTTTCCCTGCAACTCCCTTATTTATTTTTTTTAATGAGAAAAGGTCTGTCCATTCATCTCTCTCTCTAATTACTTTTGGCTTCACTATCTGGGTAACAGAGGCAGACAGAAGTCTCTTAAGTAATATATTTTTTTTGTAAACTCCCCATTAAAAAAGCAACTTCAAAAGAGGGAGACCACAATTAGTATCTGCAGAACAAGGACACAAAGTCTAATAAAGTCTGGTTGCCTTCATTCTGCTGTCCATGGAAGAAAAAAAAAAAAAAAGCTTTAATAAATAAAGTAGCCATGCTGCTAAAACCCTAGGTGGCTTAGAGACCTGATAAAGAACATTACACCACGATTATTTAAATCCAGCCTGTGCCAGGCTTTCTGGCACAGAATCTAGCAGAGCTTTCTGTCCATTGCTTTCAAAGAGCTTTCAGAAGTACTTGTCAGCACAGATCCAGCTGCAGAAAGACAACTCGCTGGCCAAGTAACTAGGTGATGAAAGTCTGCACCAGCTTCCAAGAAAAAAAAATAAATAAAAATCAAACCTGCAGCATACAGAAGGCTGCTCTAACATCGCAGCTGCACAGCAGTGAAATGAGCTTTAGGCAATTCCTCCCCTGCAGAGGGACAAGACTCAGCCTGGTTCCTAGCAAGATAGTGCAAAAAAAAACCAAAACCTGTCTGGCAGAGGTTATCCTCTCATTCAAAGAGCTGTTATCGTACCCAAGTAGGCCTTGGGACTGCCCACATCTAAGCAGGTGCTTATTTTTCCTACAATGTATGAACATCACCTTGTAGCAGTCTAGGCACACCCGCCAGGTAAGGGGGACAGGCAGGCAGCTCTTGTTTGAGAACTTGGACTCTTTCAAGTCTTCACAGTTACTGTACCTTGTTAGTGTTGTAGCCAGATGGACAAGGAGCGACTGGGTCATGGAGGGAGCAGTACACCGCCGTGTCTGGCATACCTGGGAACACAGCAACAAATTAGAGCTTAATGAACCAAAACAAAGCTAAAACAGAGGCACGCTTTGTGAATTCTCAAAAGGGAATAGGGAATCTTCCCACAAATGATCCCACAAATCCTCCTCTAAAGTTCTTCTGCAGGACTAAGAAACCACTGCTTAGTGTGTTTTTTTTTTTTCTTGATTAATACTCCTGCTACTAAAATTCACCAGACACAATAGCTGACCGCTCAGCTGATACACTGGAGACATCTTACATTTGATATAATCTAAAGAGAGCAACAACCTCAAGCCTAGAATTTTACAAGGAAGGACAACATATTGTGAGAAAATAGATCAGCTACAGACATGAGAGATTTATCATCTCTGCCAAATTAAGAGTTTTCAAATGTCATACAATAAGTTAGACAGTAATTAATGCCACAGTTTTCTCTTCAAGGATAAGCAGTGAAATCGGTAAAGTTTCCTAGAAGTTTCAGGTAGAAGAGATTTTCAATTTTTCTTGATGGACTATGTTGACACAATGTAATCAAAGTTTATCAGAAGCTGCATGCAAATTTCCTTTGGAAATTCAAGCCACAGCTTTGCCTGGGTAATGAATGAAATGAATGGACAGAATGTTAAAGTGTTATTTAAAGAAAAAAGCTTGGTCTTAGTACATAGGACAAAAACCCTTAATTTTTTGTTTGTTTGTTTAATTTTTAACAATATGCATGCAACTAAAACATACAGAACATTCATAAACATACCTCAGGTCTGATAAAAACTATTAACAACTCAGAAGTTATTTTTCTTGCGCAGCCCAATCAATTTCCATGTTAAGACCTGTCTGTACATTAGAAACATTAAACCTGTGATGTGGTAGAGTATCTGTTTGACCATACACCCACTATAGCCTGGGACACCTAGACAAACAGAGCATCCCAGGGAAGCTTGTTGACTTGACTGATCATCCTTCAGTTCTCTGAGCTACCTGCCCAGACAGAAATACTGACTCTGAATACAGATATTCACGCAAAATCCAGCTTTACATTCACTGCACACTCCGGTTCCTTCCCCACCTCAACCCACCAAGAGCGATCTTGGTTGCACACCGCATACAGTCAGGCCTTTACCCGTCTGTAATGTCAGCCAGGGGAAAAACAGGACTGCCACGAACACAGGACCTGTGGCTTTGCTCACCCTTAGCACCAAGGTAAAGGCTTCATTTGTGCTCCAAGGATAGAGTACAGGGACTGCCAAAAACTACAAAAGCTTGGTGCAGTAGCTGAGGACTATGGCAACACCGACTGATTTATATGCAACTTACAGACAGTTGCATGCATTCCTCAAACTGCAAGTTCAACATGGAAAAATAGAAGGTGAGAACAGGGAGCAAGTAGTCTGATTACTAAACCGACAGGAATAAAGGACAGGACAAAAACAATCTTCTCCTGCTGCTTGTTTAGCTCCTCAAAGCTCCTGCAAATCCACCATAGGTCATCCCCCTAACATCCTCTCTGAACAAGAATACCTCGTAGGCAGAAGTGTCCACCAGATGAGACTGATGGGAAGGGACTTTGCCCTTTCTTCACACTGGATGAAGATTTTAAAAGTTTCTTTTTCTTTAATTATTCCTCACACTGAATTAAGACTTCCTGATGGGTTGGATGAAACCAATTGCTTTATGATTAAAACAAACAAACACAACACCAGCCTGAGCAGATGGATGTTCAAAGGGAATTATTTAGATAGCTGTATGGGACAGGCTGTTTTCAGGGCAATTCCTGGTTCTCCTCACAGAAGATGAGGAGCAAGATTCGCCCGCAGCAGCGTCAGGCCACAAGGTTGAGGTCTGGTCTCAACTTTTGGTCTAAGCTCAGCTTAGTTAGTTGTGAAACCCCCTCAAGAAGAAGGTTAAAGGCTGGTAAAAAGAAGCAAGGCAAAACTACTACAAAAATTTGTACTGTTTAAGGATTTTTGGTCTCATACTGCTGACAAAATACTATTTTAAGCCCTCATTAGTGCCATGTTAGTAAGAAAAGGCCTGAACGTGGAAACCCTCTGCACCTACACACTGCCTAAAAGCAGACCCATGGCACCCACCCGCGCTCCCTCTCCTGAGGCACCCACCAACACCAACACCCCCGTTACACAAACACAGACACCCCCACTACACAAACACCCCAATTACACAAACACCCCCATTACACTTTACCTATAAACTTGGCAGCTCCTTCCTTGTACTCCTCCAGCACCTCATGGAGCTCCGCCCTGTACCCGGACGCGAAAATAAGTAAATTACTCCAAAAAACACCCAACCGCCGAGGAAAACCGGCGGCTCCTGAGCTCCGTCTCCCCCCCTGGGGTACTCACATGAAGGACAGGGTGAGCTGTGCCACGGGGGGGACCCCGGCGACCTCCCCGAGGGTGTCGTAGGTGAGGTGGGGCGCGGAGCCGCCCCGCGTGTACAGCAGGCAGCCGGGCAGCGCCAGGGAGCCCGCCCCGCTCCTGCCCAGCTCTGCCAGCATCCCCAGCCGCCCGCTGCCCACCCCAAACAGCTTCAGCCGCATCCTGAGCCCGAGCAGGAGGAGGAGGAGGAGAAGAAGGAGGAAGAGGAGGAGGAGGAAGAGGAAGGGCGGCCGCCTGCCCTCCTCTCCCCCCTCGCGGTGCACGCCGGGCGGCGGGCGGCCATGTCGCGGCTGTGGAGCTGGCGGCGCCTCAGCGCCCCGGCCCGCCCGCAGGTCTGTGCGCGGCGAAAGGCTGATTTGGTTTATTTTTGTGACTGTAATTCTCTGCTTTTCTTCCAGCCGGGGCTCGGCGCTGAGGGCGCTGGGTGAAGGTGCAGCGAGCCCCTCGCAGCTGGCTCCGGAGCGGGGTGCCCCTGAGCCGTGGGTGCAGCACGGGGCTCGCTGCTGGGTTGCCTTTGGTACCTCAGTGCTCCCACCCCAAACCTGCTCCCTGCTGCAGGTGGGAGCCCCTGTCCACCTCCTCATCGCCCCGCTCATGTTGCTGCAGTTGCAGCTCGCTCTGGTTGCCCTACCACCGAGGGAAGATGCCCCACAGTTGTACGCCCTGGCTGGGGTGCGGGTGTTAGGTGCGAAACCACATTGACAAGTCAGGGCTGTCTGCTTCTCAGAGAAATGAATATGGGGCAGAAAATCCTTTGGACGTGCTGGCCAGCCTGGTTGTGACAAAACGCTGATACAACTTTCCTAGTTGGTGGTCACAGGGGACTAACTCAGCGAGTCTCAGTTCAGCCCCTGCAGGCTGGGTGTTTGCATTCTCCCAGCATGTTCTCCAATCACTGTGATTGGCAGTAATTACCAAACGAATGCTCATTACTTAATCATTTCTGAGTGAAATTTCTCCAGTCAGTCAAGAGCAGTTGGAGAAATGTGTTTCAAAAGAAATCTATTTCTTACAACAGCCGTACTGTCTTGTGTGCCAGCCCCACTGATGTTTGTCCTCTCTCCCCTGAGGAGAAACGTGGATGTAGGAAGTTTAAAAATGAATATACATCAAACATTAGAAATGTTTTTCTTTCTTTAAAGAGAGTGGAGCAAGCCTCTGAGTATGCCATCGCTGAAGCTTTTTCCTTTCAAGAGCCAAGGTATCCACAAGGGCTGTGTGGTCCTGTGACGAGGTTGGAAACTGTGGAACAGCTGCAAGATCATGATGAGGCCTGTAAGGAAGGTGAGATGAAATACTGCTTGCCACAAGCTGCCTAAACAAACTCTTCTTGATCCAGCACTGTGGTTCTGGTCTGAACAGGCTGTTACAAAGCCGCAGACCAAAAGAAACAGTTCGCAGTAACACAGATTGGAGCCTTTCATGTAGGGGACAAAGGCATAAAAGAAAATTTGGTGGAGTTCAGGGGAGATCTTAATTAGCATACCTGAGAGAACGATGAACTCCCTGTCTCCTGGAAGTGTCAGGTCAAGACAAGGATGAATACTGTCTTTGAAGATCTGGTCAAACACAAGTTGCTGGGCATCAGGAAACTGGATGAAATTACCTGACAGATTTTTGACAGCAGGACAGATGTGAAAATAGGGTGACCCTGTGTAATTTTTGCATCTATGAATAATGGTGTGGTTTTCCTTTGATCCTCATGCAAAACTTTCCTTGCCAATTAGCTAACTAAATATTCCCTTTGTAATGTCTGCAGCCACAAGTGCTTACTGAAATTTGAAAGTAAAACTGTAATACATTTTAAAAAATAATTTGATTTCCCATCCATGCAAGAAATACATCTGCAGTGTAGGAGATAGGATTTTAAAAACAGAGTTAACTATTCTTTTATAACTCAACGCTGAGCTGTACAGAAAGAAATGAAGACAAATCTCCCAAGTGCATCCTCTTCAAAACAAGAGGTCAGCTTTTTAACTTGTAAGCAACAGCAGTTCAACTAATAGCACAGAGCACACATATCTGCTTACCGTGCACTGTCTGAATACATTATGCAGCATAGTGGCTCAAAAGGAGCTGTCTTTGCAGTTGCTGGAGAAGTTGCTTGCTTTTTCCTCATGATTCTTTATTATTTTTGTTTGTCCTTTTCTGCTAGTGTTTCCCTTTTCGTATTTGCCAGTCCCTCAGGATTGTTACAAGCACAAATGAAAGTTTTATCTGGAGTCCATTATTATAGTACTTAATGGCATTACCTGCACATATTCCATTTTGCAAAGAAAGGTATGGATAAGAGAAGTGCTAGAACTCATTTATTCCAGTTATGAGAAGCTCACATTTCACAGTCAAAAAAGTAACTCCATTCCCAAGTGATAAGCTGTTTTTCTCTCTTCTTTTTCGTATCAGATATACTTCCTTGCTCCTGAGCTGGCCTGAGAGATTATAGAGAACAAAAGTGATTTGAAGGACAATAAACATCAAATTTATGTTTTCTTAAAAAAAAAAAAAAAAAAAAAAAAAGGAAGTTTAGAAACGCTTTACTGCCTTAGAAATACCAGGACTCATTGGGAATATCTTAATTTTGTGTTAGAACTAGAGCTTTGAGCAGCTGTTCATCCTGTCTGAAGGCTGTGTGCCTTCACAGGGCTGACTTGCCCTGCAGTGGCTGACGAGATCCCCACTCTTTGCCCATCCTTGCTGCATGGATGCCTCAGCTTCTTGTAGGAGTGCTCCCGATGCCTTGCAGTTTGCAGTGTTCTGCTTCAGGAACAGCTTGGCTACCCATTCAGCAAGTCTAGGTGGGTTGTTGAGGCAGCAGCCACATTAGTTGTCCCTGCTCTTGAGTAAGAGCTCTGAAAAAGGAGTTTTTGCATTTTTCTGCAGAAGAGCATGGAGAATTTGCAAATAAAGTCCACAAAAGGACTTCATATCCAGTTGTGTATAAGGCATCTCTCTCACTGAGTAGTAGCAAATCCATCATGGGTGAATTCCTGTAGTTACATCTTCTGACTGCAGGTAGTCCCTGCTGAAGCTTGCCCTGTGGCAGATTTTTAATGTAGGCTTCCCAGTAGTTAGTAGAGCTGTGGTACTTGCAAAGGTTAACCTGTATGCTTGAAGCTAACATTTGGCCAAACTGCTTCTTTTTGTATTGAACATAACGACAACCCTGGCTGTACACGTGGAAAATATCTTAAGTGTCTGCAAGTGCAGTGGTGAAACATTTAAAAGCTATCTGAGTTATGAATTGCTTCCTATGAATTCCATCTCCTTGATAAATGCTTTGATAATCAAGAGCGCTCTAAATGTCCAAAGAATCTTGTGGAAAAAAATTAGGTGGAAAAGAATTCATTTGTGACCTATATGAGAGGGGAAAAGTTTGCCACCTTCTCTTCCTGTTCTTTTATAGATCAGGAAGATGAGAACAGAATTATTACCCCTAGTCCATTTTATGTTGCAGATCAGCTTTCAGTCATTTTAGAACGTCTTTCCTGCATGTGATATAACCATCCCAGAGACAGAGTCATGCTAGTTTACACTTAGACATATATTTTTAAAGCTAGTAAAGTCATCATCAGTCTCTTTCCTTGTGATAGCCCGAGAGCTGCTCAGTAGCTGGATGAAGTCCAAACTGCAACTGGAGCTGATGAGTGATGGAGAAGCGGAAGCTGGCTCTGTCCTCCCAGAAGATCCTTCTCCAGCCACTCCGAAGTACGAGCGGTTTGATGGTGAGAGCACAACAAAGCCCTTCTTGGCTCCCTTTCTGAGCACGTGCTAGGGAAGGGAGACAGGCCTCGTGGCTTGTTGGGCTGACAGGTACGAGTCTCTGAGGCCAGGAGAGTGGGCTCTGTGAAAATAAGATTACAGATGAAGATTTTTGTCCCCGGCTCTGACAGCAGCTTGCTGTAAGGCTGCACAAACATCTGTCGTCTCCCTTTGTAAAAGAAATTTTATTTCTGCTGCTTTTGGGTATGCGTGAGGCCTGTCAAATTTATACAGCAATTTGAGATGCTCAGAGGCAAGGCAGTAAAAAAATGGACAAAATGTCGTTGCTGCTCTAGTGTGTTCAATGGGAGACTGATTAAGACTCTTTGGGGATAAATGGAGTGCAGTCACTGTGTCTGCTTTCATCAGGAATGCATTCACAGGCTGGGAAAGTGATCCCTTTAATTACGTTAGGCTTTGTGATCTGAGACAGGGGTTTATTCATTTCAGACGAGCTTGAGCTGATCTGAGTTCCTCCTTTCAGACTTGTGCAGCTCTCTAGAACATGAGTTGGAAAGTTCTTCTGCCCAAGAATACCTACAGCATCTTTTGCAGAGCGAAGCTGTGAACTGCAGGATACTGGCAGACCTTCGGCTTGAAGACACGAAAGGAAGACAAAAGCTTGCAGATCCACGAATAACCATGGAGCTCAGACACAAGCAGGTGTGCAGGCAGGGCAGCACAGTTAAAAGATGTAAGATTGAGGATTATAGGATTAGGGTAAATGCTCAGTGATACCTTCCCGGTGTTCTCTCCCAGCCTGCAGTAATCCCTGACTTGCAGGCAAATACCCTAGGATACTCTTCCAAGGTTTAGCTGAAAAGTTACTGTTCCCACTTGTGTGTTAGCCATTCACAGTAGCTTGCACGGGAAGCTTTTGCTGTTGAGGTGAACTTCCACTCTTTCATCTTTTCAGGTTTTCCCCCTGTCTGAAGACTGACAGGAAAAGCCACCAGGCCCTCAGCTCTGAGTTTGCGCCCACCACATAACATTGGTTTAACCGCGCTCTCCTAACTGGAGTTTTTTGCTGGTCAGAAAACAAAACCAATCCAGTCAGTGACAGCTACGGAGAGGGTTGCATGCTTCCCACCCTGTCAATCTACAACAAACCTCAAATCCTTCAGCTTTTGGCACCTGCATTGACTTTCGCTGATTTCTTCCTTCCCAGGTGAAAGAAAATCGACTGAGGCGTCAGAAGGCGTTAGAGCTGCAGAGGCAAGAAAAGGCCCTGAAGAAATCCATTCTGTCTGAGGCCAAGCTCCAAATACAGGAGGAGGACAGAAGGAAGGCCCTGAAGGCCAAGATGGAGGAGGAGGAGATCCAGAGGGAAATGGTGAAGCTGCGAAAGGAAATGGCTGAGAAAAGGCAAACCATGGCAGAAGCACGGAGAATGTAAGAGGGAGAGAGGGGCATGGAAGGCACCGTGGGGAAGAACAACTTCCTTATTAGCTCCTTTTGGTAAACGTAAGAGGAGTGGTGGTCCCAAAGAAAACATTTCCTCTTCCTGTCTCCAAACTCTCCCCAAACCTTTTACTCCTTTGTTGCTGACTTTAGTGGCAGAATTTCATTAGGAAACAGGCTAAAGATGTTAGATTTCCTTCAGCCATTACCAGTAGGTACACGCAGTCACAGAAGTAGGAGCATGCTTGCACTACTGTGTGTTCTCTCCAACTCTGTGGCCACATCCCGCCTTACCAGTGTTTAATGCAGCCTGAAAACCGGTGCACTGAAGAAAATGCATGAAATTACAATGAAAACGCTGGCCAGCTTGGAATAGTCTATGTTGAACGTCTATCACTTAATAGATTTCCTCTCCTGTGGGAGAATAAAGTGCGCTGTTGGCTAAGAATTCTGCAGAGAGATGCTCTTTGCTTCTGCTGAGCTTGGATTGCCAGAGAGATGTGACTTGTAGGGATGCCATTTATTTACTTAGGCAGCCCTAAGATCCTAAATCTTCTCATGCGAGAGGATTTATTGAAATTTATTGAAATGTGGCTGTTCTCTAGGAAGGCTAACTTAAGTAATCAGCAGCTTTCTAGAGGTCATTCTCTGAGGATTGGCAAAAAAAGGGAGTGAGGTCTGAACTACAGTAATTTCCTTATTGCATTAGATCTCGATGTTTGCTTACTTTCCAGGGAGGGGAAGAGACAAGAAGAAAGCCAGAAGGCAGCAGTGCAGGAAGTATCTATTACTGTGTCGCCGCCCCTGCACCTGAAGAAAGAAGAGCAAGAAAAGGAGAAACAGAGAAAGGCTCAGGAGCTGCTGATCAAGATTCACACCAACAAACAGAGAGTAAGCATCACCTTCCTTTTATCTGAGACTCTGAACTTCCTGCCCTCAGGTACTGTTTGCAAAATGGAAGTAAAAAATCCTAGTTTTAATTTTTCTTTTCCTTTTTCTAAGCTCTCCTCGTGATATCAGGAAAGTAGAAAAGCAGGCCAAGAAGTACATTGTAAGACTAGGAGTGAGAAATCTGCAGACACCGTACCCAGGCTGGGTCTCAGGTGTACCTAGTGGAAGATTTCACTTAGAGCTGTGGAGAAGATGTCACTTCCAGTTGCAAATACAAAGGCTTCTGCAGCTGAGGAACAGGCAGACATACAGAGGCAGCAGCTGTAGAGCAAGATTTGCTTTCCCCTGAGGAAGGAAGTGGGGAGAGAGAGTGGCACTGTGTATATGGGAAGATACTTGAAGGTTGCTTTGAAGACCCTGGTACAGGAGCAGGGACAGGAAAGAGAAGTGCTGGGGGCCTGGGCTGACTTCTGAGTTGTCTCCATGAGTTGAAGTACACCAGTATACACACAGCAACAGGTTCCTTGGGCAGCCACTCCCACCAGCTATAGGGGAATATTCCATGAGACTGCAACAGCTCAGGACAGAAGATGTAGCCTTTAGTAATTCCTAGTAGGAAACTAATTCTTTTTCCCTGGATTTTGACTGTTACTCCCCTAGTTTTGAAAAACAGCACAAGAGCAGTGCTCTGAAGGGAAATAAAAACACAAGTTTCCTGGAGTCCTGAACCCACCTACCTGTTATTGGGAGATTAAGCTGGAGAAGCTGGTTGGGTGAAAACAGTAACTGGTTTTACTGGTAGTTAAACTGTAGGGGAGCTTCCCATCAATCAACTGCTCTCCACGTCTCGCCACTAGGGTATCTAAAGATGGGGATTTTCCCTTTTTCTCACCCTGAGAGTTTATGAAAGTAAGAGAGATTTCTCCTGCTCATTTCTGATGCTGCAGCCAGCTCTGGGTTAAATGTGTTGCATCAAATCCTTACAGTTAAAGAGAGATTTTTGTACTGAATGATCCTACATGGGTGGTTTCAGCAAAGGGAATAAACTTCCCTGTGTGCAGTATGTGTACCATCCATCATGTAATGTTTGTAATTAACAGAACAGTCATCATTAACGCCTACTTCTCTACATCTAGATTTTTTTTTCCCCCATCGAAGAATCTCAGCTTTAATGGTGATTCTCCCCTGGCTCACTGCATCTCCCCAGTCTGCTGGATGTGAGCTTGGCTACTGTTTAGCAGCCCACGACCTCTTTCCAGCCCAGTCTAAGCTGTGAAGATAAGCCTAAAGGAAGTCGCGGAACAATTTAGAGCTGGCGTAATGCGAAAAGCCGCAGCTTAGCCGAGCTAAGCAATGGTGACATTGATTATTTTCTTAAAGCAGAAAGAAATAGCTAATGCGTTGACATTTTGTCCTTTTTTGTAAGTTTTCATTTGGAGATTTCAGTGACTGAGAGGAATGCAATTATTACAAGGCATTATCACAAAAGGGGGACAGCTGAGTCCTGTGAGTTGACCCACTTGGAGGATCAAAATGCACAGCGTCTGCAGTGGCAGGGCTAGAATTATGGGGTAGATTAGATAGCAAATTGCTGTTCTGTACAATGTAAATCACTCCCAGAGGCAGCGAGTCTAATTACACAATAGGGGAATAGTTTGGCTTCCTACTGGAACGAAGGTGAGCTCGGGTCACATCATAAATTCACACTGGGAAGTGTCTTGAGTTTTGTCTAAGTTGAAAAAAAATCAACAACTGGTCCACGGAGCTGTTTGTTAACTCTTCTCCACAGAAGTGCCCTTGTTTATAGAATCGTAGGCATTTCCCAAATTTTGAAACACCTTTCTTACCTCTAGAAACTGTTCCTGTATTCCTCACGCATTTTATTCCTTTTTATACTTGGTGAACTGAGCATGTTTCACTCAAAAGCATGGAACCCCATGGTGTTCTCTTTCTAGTCTGCCTTTTGCAGAAGGCTGCCTTTGCTCTGCATTATTTTATTTTACCTTCAAGACATCTATAGAAAGTGGGGATTCTAAAAAGAGCCTCAAAAGCAAAAGTCAGATAAGGGGGATGGTGGAGAGGATTGGCGTTTGTGTTGGACTGTACCTGACTCATTGGTTTTCTGAAACTCTCCCATGCAGTGCCTGCAGCGACATTTCTCTGCTTGGTTCAAACTTGTTCTGGAACACAGAATTCAAATGGGGAAAGCCAGAGCCCTTGCTGACTGGAAATGCCAGCTGAAGGCCCTGCGAGCCTGGAGAAACTATACTTGGACCCAAAAAGTACAGCAGGAGACACAGCAATTGGAAGACCATCTCCAAGACCAAAACAGGTAGTGACCCTGCACTGTGAAGTTCCTCCTGCTGCAGCAGTACTCTGCGTTTGATCAGAGGGTTGTAAAAAAGGGGCTTGCCAGTTAGCCAGCAGGAGGAAAACACAAGCTTTTTGAGAAAATTGCTACATCACCTACAGTTTGATGGAGGCCTTTTGGCACAGATGAAAAGGAGGAAAGAGAAACTAGAGCTTTAGCACTTCCCAACAAGCCTGCAACTCTCTCTCTAGGTATTTTCCCTGGGCATCTCATTTTGGCTTGCTCTGGGCCCCAGATAATAGGAGGGTATCTCCTACTTCAGTAGTATTACAGCCATTCTGACCAGTCCCTTTCATTAAACCTGTTGGATAAATCCCCCGTCTCTGCCTTCCCAATCCTCCTTGGCGAAACACTACAGCTTTGGAGGGCCTCCAGAACTGAACAACAAAAAGACCTGGGAAGTTAAGGGGCCTCATGCTATGGCCTGGATTGCTGTGCTTGATGGAGTTGTTTCAAGCAGGCTTGGATAGAAGCCTCACTCCTATCGTAACGAAAGTGCTTTCTCCTTCAGGAAAAACCAGCTGTCTGCAGAGCATAATCGGCGGCGGCTCCTGCGCTGTTGCTTTCTAGCATGGCAGCACTGGAGCCAAGCAGAGACAGAGAAGCGAGAGCTGCAGCTCAAGAGGGAGGAGACAAAGAGGAAGATGGCACAGCTGCTGGAGGCGGTGTCACTGGGGAAGGGTGGCCTGGATGGGCCACAGGAGGCAGAAGTAAACCAGCATCAAGTTTTGCAGCACAACAAGGTAAAGCCTTCCATGTAGCTTTGTCCATCGGCATCCCAGGAACCTCACAAAGTGCTTTCGTGCCATCCAAAATAAAGAGCAGAGGAAATTTTTTTTTTTTTTTTTGCCCAGGGTGACCCCCAAATATCTGCCTACTGTTCAGGAGGGAAGCTGTTAAAGAGCAGAGGTAACCGTGAAGGACAGTGGATGAGTTTTAAAAATAAAATGATCTCTTACGCTGCCAGAGAACAACCCTTCATGTACTCTTGAGTCGCAATGAGCGTCCCACCCCCAGATCACTTCTGCTGAGAGATTACTTACATCTTTGATGCCTGCTTAGACTGAAAAAGAATAACGTTTGACTGCGTGACGAGATTTTGTCATGGCAGTGCAGCTCTCTGGCTCTTCAGAAGTGGGGGGGGGAAAGCTGTCAGGGGATATCTTGGGATAATGCACATCACAAGGAGGTAGGAGAATCAGGATGCTTCCTGAAATTGTCTCTTGTCAGAGCCTGCCTTTCTTTTCCGTCTATAAAACCTGTAGAACAGCACCCAGTATGAGAGCTCATACATCCTGACATACATATTCCAGTTCAGGCTTTTCATTTGCTTAAGTGTCAGTGAAAGTTGATTTCCTGTTGTGCTTAAATCATCCTAGACAGCCTGTATTTGCCTTCAGCTGTGGGGGAAAAACTCATGCTGGAAGGATGGGACTGAATTTGGAGTTTGACCTGGGAATCAGAAAGCAGAGCTGGCATCTGATGCCTCTTCTGAGAAAAAAAAAAACACAAACGGGGGTGTCTGAGAAGGCACAGCCTGACTGCCCACTGTGCACCAGTTTCATGGTAATACTCGACCTAAGCTGGAGAAGAGGCAAGAAAGCAGCCCTTTGTAGACGGTTCTACCATCTGAAAAGAGACTGTCCAGTAGATCAGCCTTGTAGACCACTTGTATTTCATTTTCAACAACTGCTTTTCTTTTATTCTCAGTCTGAGCATTGCATAGGGACAACAGAGTCCAAAAGGGAGCATGGTAATCCTTGAGAGATGAGCTAACCCCTGAGAAATGAACTGTCCTGTGCTCCCTGACAGAATGGTTGGGATAATACGCCTGCCAGAGCTCTTGCCTGATCAGGATTTTCTCCTCCCAGGGAAATGGCACACAGCTTCGTAACAGTTTTTTCCCAACACCCTGCCAATTATGCGCATAACTGGGTCCCTCCGCCTTGGCTAGGAACTGGATGAAGATTGTGGAGCTGAGATTGCCCTACTTTTCAGGCCCCTCACTAGATTTTTCGTTCAAGAAACACTTATTAATGTGATTTCAATTAATGCCAGATCTTCCTTTTTCTTTTTTTTCTTTCCCAGCCAACTGAAACACGCCTCATACAGGAAGAACCTGACCAGACCAGGGACCGCTCTTGTTGGGATGCTGCTCACACATCTCATTCCAACAGAAAACCCAAATTTGCCTGGCAGATCACCCTAAAACATGCAGCCCTGAATGCCCAGGACCAGGCTACGTACAAGAATCAAACAGCCACTCTCCCGCAGCAGTTTCAGGCACCCAGCCCCAGGCCAACCCCTGCTTATGGTAGCTGTTTTGAGCACCGCTACGCCTTCCAGCAACGTCTGATCGAGGAGCAGAGGCAGCAGCTTCAGAAACAGCAAGAGCTGATCCTTGAACTGCAGGAAAATCAGAGGCTGAGCAGAGCAAAAGAAGAGGCAGCACAAGCCATGGCAGTAACCCAGGCACTTAACAACTCTACCTCACAAACCAGGGAGTTAAAAACGGAGAGCGGAAAACAATCCAAGTGCAATGCCACCCCTTTGAGGTATAAGCCCCCTTGGTAGAGCAGGATCAGGTAGTCATCATCTCTCATTTCTACCCAAGTTGAGCCAGAATTTGTCAGGAACCCTTTCAGTCATACTAGTGCTATCTGCTGTGCCTCTTACCTGCGGCCTAGTGTTGGTCTCGCCACAGTTCTCATCCTCTGTGTTTTGCGTTGACTTGACACCGCGTGATCCACGCAGAGCCCACTTAGAAACAACAGCACTGGAGTGTTACCCGTAATAGCAGCAGGGATTTAGTTAGGAAAAAAAGAGAGAAACTGTCATACTCCGTATTTCACAACATGCAGCAGCTCAGGGTACTCATCTTTGTAAGGATGCATCATTAATCCCGTTTCAGGCAGAAGAAACATACATCAGGGGCCCACAATGAAAATGTAGCACGGTGAAGGGTAGAAACTACAAGGTGTGTTTCTCAGTCTCAGGTAGTAGGTGTGAGACGTGGTTTGACCGAGCTCACTGATCGATGTCTTCACTCTTCCTTTTCACAGCCTGCCTCTTTCTCACAGGTCCCAGAACACCAGGGCAGCGACGCGAGGCAGGAGGCCTTCCACCCAGCTGACCTCAGCTCATCCCATACTGAAAGGTATTGTTCTTGGTAGCAAAGACCATGCCAGACCACTTTCCTCAACAGCTCATCTGGAAACTTCTCTTTCTTCGCCTCTGACCAGTGCTATGAGAGAGTGAGTTGTTTTCACGGCCACGTCAGGCATCTGTACAACCTTGGCCACCACAAGCACCCCAAGTCAATGCTCAGAACGCTGTGGTAGCCGTTACTCCTAACACTTGTGACTGTTTCTGGTGTGACAAGAAGCTCTACAGCTCGTTTTGCTGTCAGTTTTACTCCCGTCATTGCCCATCCAATCAACACTTACACTGACTGCTCATTTTCACCTACCTTTGACAGAGGTATCGAGATTTCCAAGATAATGAAGTGCCTACCCAAGGTTTTGTGAGACAACAGCAGGTAGGCTGGGGAAGGAGCTCCAGATCCTTCCCATCTGTGAGGTAGCTCCCCTTCTCTAGCCATGCTAGAACAGCAAATGCACATTAAACATGGAAAGCAGCCTCATCACAGAGTAAATTAGGATCAGGTTCTGCTATATCCCTAGGTTATATTCTTCTCTATCAACCTAGGGGGAATCACAGCCTGCGGAAAGGACTGGTAGGTGATTGTGGTGATGTTTTATGAGTCTTGGGATCACCAGAGCTTGTTGGCCCTGATTGCTGTGCATTAATAGATCACTTTCAGTAACTGACTGTGTTCAGCTCCCACGCTACCTAGTACAAGCCATCACTCACTGATTGCCTGAGCTCTGTACAGCTTGGGGACAGTAAGAGTATTTTCAGAGCACTCAAGTGCTTTTCCTTGAAGATCCCTAAGTAGTTCAGTGCAAAGTCATCTCAAGATGATTTTCCCTTGGCAGAGAATCCTGGCACAGCTGAAAGGGGAAAAAGAACTTGAGGAAACCTATTGTGGTCAAAGCAATTAAATGCCCCTCCATTTATGGATGGCTCCAGCCTGTGCTTTGTTTGTGACTTCAAGAGAAGCAAGCACAGCTTCTCAGGCCCGCTGCGTGTTCTGTGAGGTCAGACTAACACCTTCAGAGACAGCCAGAAAGACTGCAGCATTGCAACTCGGCTCCCCAAAGCAGCATTAAGTAGTAGTTTCTCGCTAAAGGGACCGAGTTCCTGTGTGTCACTGTGGCAGGGATGTTTTTCATCCTGAAGTCGCTCTTTAAATAAACAGTTGGGGCTTCCTGGAGACCTCATTGTGAGGGTTGCTAAAACAGGTGCCCTGAGCCTCAGCACTTAATCAAGGGGATGAAGAGATAAAACTGGCGGACACAGCTCCTTTTATAATCCAGGCTGTGCCTGTCAACCAAGGAGGGTGGAGTCCTGAGTCTTAAAATTGAGTTTGTGGGTTCCTCGTTTGTGAAACTGCCAGCCATAAGAGGCAGCAGAGGGGACCTGGCAGCAGAGAGAAGGGGTCACCCTTCCCATTCACCAAGCTTGTGCCGTTATCCTATAGCTCATTTGCACTAAGCCTTATGTCCTTTTGTTGTTTCCACTTCTGTAGCTATGGAGGAGAGAGCGATTCAGCGGGCAGAACGGAGGAGGAAATTAGAAGAAGCCAAACAACAAAGAGAAGAGGAGAAACTGGTAAGGACAGCGGAAAATGAAACAAAGACTCTCTCATGCTATTCCAGTCATAAGAAATGCTATTTTAACACCATGAAGTTGTGAACCAAGAAGAGGCTCTTTAGCCAAATGAGGAGTTTTGTGGCTTGTGAGAAAGCAGATGCCCAGCATACATCAAAAAATGACCCCACTGGCCCTGCCATATCACAGACAGACATTTCTTGTTGATGCTTGCTGCTACAACTCTAGAAGCAGCTTCCCTTACCACCCCTCCACCACCTCTTTCACGCCTACCTCATGGCTATGACTGTCATTGCCAAGGATGGGAAGAGTGGAATTGAAATCCACCTGACTGGACCTAGCAAACTGTGTGTTTTCCCTCTTCTCCTTTCCTCTCAGGTCACGTGCAGCTTGAGGACGTGCAGCCTGACCTAGTAAAAATGCTGCATCTCGGTTTCTAGCAAATCTCTTCTGAAAAGGGAAGATATTGACAATATTTGCGTAGTTCATATAGACATTCTGTGATAGGCATCAAGCAGGAGCCTTCTTAGCTTACGGCATTAATCTGTTACTGAGAATATCAATACTAATTTGCATTAGGATTAGAAAGCTCAGAACTGGGGTCCTAAAATAATCAGTATTTCTCCTCCAAGGAAAAAGGATGTGCATGCATACTAGGAAGCTTAAACAAACCGTAGAGAACACTTCAACCATAGGGTGGGCAGACAAGCGTTAGGTTAGGTTTCCTCAGCTACTGCTGCCATGATTATAGAGACTGGAAGAAGCACAGTCATTATAATCATGCATAATTGTGTGGGTTTTTGGCCTTTGATGCATACACCAAGAACAAGAACTTTGTGGAACGAAAGCAGGTTGAGGTTTGCAAGGGGAATAGGTGAACGTTCAGAGAAGGATATTGTATTTACACATATATCCACGTATATCCAGTGCTGAAGTAAAACAGCTCCTTTGGTCTTCAGTATTCGGGGAAAAACATGTGAGCACCTGTAATGCTCTTTAACATGCAGATGTAAAACTTCAGAGCAGAGCCCAGTGGTTGAGTACTTATTTAAGCAATCATGTTATCAATAAATAACCTGGGGTATGGTTTTAAGTGTGTTAGTAGAAGAGTAGGTAAGTACTGTAACTTAGGGCAAAGAAAGATGGCCATATATAAGTAGAAGAAAGAACACTCCCTCCTCCCCTTCTCTTCCACAGTTCATTGTTCAGTGCAGATCATGCCTAGTATGTGACAAAGTCTGCTTCCTTCTGAAGTTTCAGGTTCTGGTCAATACTAGAATTCTGCTTGTCTGGGAAAATTTAGAGGCCTGTGTTCTCCAAAAAGGTCACATACACTGGACTAAATTTTATCTTCCTCCATTTTCTCCATTTCAAGGCCCAGATGAAGGCTGAAGAAGAAGCACGTCAGAAGAGGGAGGCTGAGGAAAAGGAAGCTCAGCAGGAGAAAAGACGGGAGGAGAGGAGGCTACAGAAGCAGGTGCCCAAACACCCCAGCTGTCTCCCCCACCTAACAGGGATAGGGAAGAGGAGCCGTTACCTACTGATAGAGTCAGCAGCCAGGGCTGTGAACTGAAGGTCCTTGTTAGCAGAGCAGAGTTCCACTGCACAGCACCAGCTGTATCAGCTCACCACCTCCCCCTTTTTTAGGGACAGTGGTAAAAGGGCTGCAGCCTGAACGTGCTGTGAAGCGTGTACTGTCCCCGTCTCAGCAGCAGGACTAGAGGTCCCAGCCGGTGGTCATCCACTGCCGAGCTACAGTAGAGTAGAGTCGAGCTAGAGTACAGTATCCTCGTCCAGCATACACAGTGATACCAGTCACAAACACACAACTTAGCAGTAAACAAGCCTGAGAGATCTATGCAGGGCAACCTTCCAGCTGAAGAATTAGCAGCAGCCTCTCCTTGGAGCTAACGGTATCCAGCAGCCTAGGAATAGCCCCACGTTGTTCTTGTTACTTGCAAATGAGCTACACTAATAACCCAAATAGCACCACACTTGAAATCCTACTGGAATTTGACCTACAAGGGCTGTTCTACTTGCACTGAGTGTTTTAGGATGTTTGACCTTCATCTCGGAGTCTCAGTCAAAAATAATATCGTACAGTTATATAATACCCACATACCTTCCCTGCTATTTAAGCTAGATTCCATGCATAAACTCAGAATCATTTCTGTACAGGTTTTCAATCTAATTTTATAGACGTAGAAAGCTACCCTACTTGAGCTCACCAAGGCACCCTTCCTAACGTGGATGAAGGCCCATCAAAAGAAAGTTGTTGCTACATCAGCCCTGCTGGTAGCCACGGATTACAGGGACGATATGATAGTAACACCAAAAACTGTGGTACTGAGGGAAGGCCATACATTCACACAGGGCCTAGGAAAACAGGTTCTAATTCGCTGGGTCATGCCTGATCTGCGCTGCTAATGATGATGCAGATCCCCATTTCCCACAAGATCAGGACCTTCAACTCCAATATGACAAGCTTAATGTTCATTTCATGCAGGCTGAATTAAAACTGCTGCTCGTTGTATTGCAGAAAGAACTGGAGAAGCAGAGGAGGCTGGAAAGAGAACAGGAGCTCCAGAAGAAGGCCAGAGATCACTATGAAAGCGTCCTGCTGAGAAAATTGGGAATGGTGCCATGGAAGAGGCTGAGGGAGCAAGCCAAGGAAAACTTGGTGGTAAGTGCTGAGGATAAAGGAAAGGACTGCCACCATGGGAGGAAGGGAAAAAGAATGGATGCAGAAGGTAGCACAAACCTTAATGGGCTCTTAAGCTGGGTAGAAATGGCAAAGCAAAAATTCTCCTTGCACACCCTGCCCTACATTAGTGCTTTAAATCAGCTCATCCAACAATAATCATGAAAGGTCATCAAAAACCCACAAGGGTGGCCTCCTCATTTACAGCTGATTAAGCAGGAACCAAGAGGACAGAGAAAGGAATGAATTTCAATCTAATGAGAAGTCATCTTTTGTTAGCCTACACTCGTCTGCAGTATTAACCGCCACTTGACTTGATGCCAGTAACACAGTGGGAGTTAGTTTAGTATGAAACAGCCAAAAAAATAAACTGAAACTTTATGATGTGAGCCTGCCAGTTCTTTTGCATCACAGCAAAGCTAATCAGATAATTCTAAGGCGTTGTATTTAGTAGTTAACCCCAGGCCATCACTCAGGCTTTTCCCTTCTGCCTGGAGTCAGAGCACAGTGGCCACTGCTAGAGGTAAGGTGCCACAGGTGACAATCCAGGGATCTGTTTTGGCCTGGCCACGCCTTCAGTGCAGAGTAGCTAGTAGCTTCTGAGACCTTGACACACAAATATTGCTAATGAAACATTTCTGTACATGAATGAGTTGGCATGCTTTATCAGAAGGAGACTAATGGCACTCAACTGTATCCCGAAAATGTAGCCAAAGCCCAAGGCTAAGCTGGCAAGCTTCCATTTAAGTCACTGGAGCTGCAGCTACTGAAGAGCTCAACCGAATGCACGCAGGCACCCGGCTGGGATGAACCAGGGGGAGAGCAGCTGCTCTGTAAGGCTGTCCTGCTGTTCAGCCTTAGGGAGCGGGTTGGACTGAACCATTAGGCCGTGCCTCTGCTCCATTCACAACAGGTCAAACCGCACGTCTAATTCAAAGGGATGGTCTCTAGGAGTTCCCTCTTTGTGGTAACTTAATGCTGTAAGGTATTCCAGCTGTCAGACATCTGCAATTTAGGGGTTCCCAAAAGCTGAGGTAGTTTTCCAGCATAGCCAGCGTTCAGTAGCTGAGGCTTATGTAGTTGCTAGTCCAGATAATGAGCTGCCTTCTCTCTGCTCTGCTCAGGTGGCCGAGAGGCACCACTGCCTGGGCCTGCAGAGGAAATGCCTGATGACTTGGCTCCAGCACACCCAGAGCAGCCTTTCAGAGAAGGTGTCTCGGGCTGAGGACTTCCATTCCCACATGTTGCTCAGACAAAGCTTCAGGAACTGGCTAAAGGTTTGCCTGCACCCCAATGGAGAAATGATAGCAGGGGAGCCAGCCTCTGCCATGCTTTCCCTTCACCATCACTCTACACATGTACAGCTCAAACTTTGCTGGCTTGCTCTGTCCTTATTCCAGCACCACCCCATTCCCTTCCTCAGAGGCCTTCCATCATCCTCCACAACCCAGGACACTCTCCTACATACTGTTCCCCACTTCCACATTCTTCCTTTTCCCTTGCTCCCTGCTGATTTTCCACCACTATTGTCCCTGTTGTCCCCCACCATCTCAGCACTGCTCTATGTATTTATTGGGCTGGGTGTGGGAGAAAGAAGCCATTCTCACCTCGTTGTCTTCCTTCCCCAGTACAAGGATAATATGGCCAGTCTAGAAGAGAGAGCGAATACCCTCCGTGCAGTCTGCCTCAAGAGGAAGTTCTTCTGGGCATGGTTTGATCTGGTCATGGAGGAAAAAGACACCTTAAGGGAGAAACTGATGACTGCTACTGAACATAGCGACAAGTGAGTGCATTCCCTTGCCAGCCTTTCTTTTTACTTGGGTCTAATTCTACCCCATACAATACTTTAGAGACCCTGCTCTTGACAGAGCAATGATCTGCTCCCCAGGAACATGTGAAATGGGTTATATGCTGCTGGTATTTTGTTTCTGTCACGTGCATAGACAACATCAGCATAGGGTTATGATAGAAATTTCCAAACAGCCTGGAAAAGGAAGTTTAGTCATATCCTTCACAGGACTTTTAAATCTGCTGAAAGAGAATACAGTGAAAGCTGCTAAGTGGCTGAAACTTTCTAAGCTGATTAGCAGATCTGGCTATGCAGCTCCTGCTAAAAGCTGCCTTAGGAAAACCTTTAAGTGCAATTATAACAAGCAGGAATTGTGCAGGAATTACACCGTATTGTTTTGTCTGCTGTGGGTGATTTGGTTTACAAATCCAAAGTTGATAAACTTAGAAACCCTACTTAGGGAATTTTGTGTTTTCTGCCACCATCAGCCTGGTTTGGCAGGCAGAACTAGAGCAGACAGTTCTATTGATCACAGCCGGAGCTGGATGCACTCGGTTCTTTATCCCATGACTGCATTAGCTGTGCATTTTAACAGGAAGAGCTATTATCAAGGTTCAGCAGAAAACAAACCTGTTCACCTACCTGACCACGAAAGCACGTCAGCTGCACGCAGTCATGAGTAGGCTGTGCCTGTGCTATAGCCCAAACAGGACATGCAGCACCTCGAAGGAAGAATTATATTAAATTCACCTCATGGGCTATAATGAACCTGTTCTAGCTTGCTTAGTCCGTAAGGTCAAAACAGGGCCTGGTTTAATCCAACAAACCAGCAAAGTGGAGGAGGCAGGGAGAATTCAGCCCAGGAAGACTGTTGCTCCCTGTTGCCATATGGGAACCTAGGGCAAGGCACCTTCGGTGGGGTGCTAAAAGTCAGGTAAGAAATAGGGCCCAGCTGCCCGCCTCCCCGAGTAGTTGATCTGAGCCGAGCAAGTCTGCATCTTCCATTTGTGCTTCTCCTGAAGAAACTGTTTTCAGAGACTGCTTATTCTTTAAAAATGAAGCATTTTAGGGGAATTCCCTCTCAAATAGAAGTTATGCTTTGATTACCTGGCATGTTACGTATACATCTTTGTGTCATCACATCGTTCTGTGCTTCCCTCTTTTCATTTAGGAGACTCATGCTGAATGCATTCAAAGCTTGGAGGCAGTACCCGTTACTGATGAGAAAGGAAAGGGAGAGGGAGGAAAGGAGGAACCAGCTACGAAGGAGAGTAGCTGAAATTCTCCCCGACTTCCAAATGTAACAGAAGAAACCAGCCAGACCAACCCAAGCGCATATGGAACCTACTTTGATGATTTCACTTTGACTTGAAGGGGCTCTTGCCCACAAGGTCCTCCTGGTGTGAGATCTCCACTGGGGTGTCTGGGACCTTTTTTCGTGCAGAGCTGCGGCACTGACACAAACATTCCTCCATCACAGGAGGCACGGAACTAAAGTGTACCTATTAAGCAGAAACCTGGTGCTTCTCTGGTGCCAGGACTCTGTAGGGCGACAGCTTGATCGTAGAGCAAACAGACTTCACTGTCAGCTGATCCCTGCTAACCCCTGCTGTGAACTTGGCCACCCAGAGAACAGCTTCTGGCTACCTGTGCCAGGGAAGCGCAGATCAGAGAAAGCGAGGGAAGAGCCATTTATGCAAATCGTATTTACTGACAGTCCAAGTTACAGCATCACATACAGACTATCTAAAACCTGGGATCTAAAACCTGGACACTTTTACACAGCACAGGCTAGTTTACTGTGCTGGCCAGTTCACAAGCAGAGTGCTTTGATTTTGGGTACAAGTGTTTATTCCAAGTTCACGACCCTCTGGCTTCACGTCCATCAATTAAACATTTCCCATGCTGGTCAACTGTAGTACTTAAAGATGGATTGTGCAAGTCTAAGCCCTTCTACTTGATCCAACACCACAAATAACACCAAAAAAATATATATGTATGTATTTAAAGTGCTTTTACATAAGCTCAAACAGAAAAAGGTTTCTCATGATTCTTGAGCCTTAACCTGCAGCACAGTGCAGATATAGTAATGCAGGGAAGGTACAGTGTGTCTTCTCTCAGCAATAGCATAAGGGAGGAATCTGGAGTCGCTTCCCCCTCACAAGATAGGCAAAGTTCTCTCCAAAAATGATTTGGCAGTATGGAGAGTACTTGGGCAATGCGAGGAAGATGACAGTTTACTGTTATCCATTGTACGGGATCATTTTTAAATCCTGTATATGCCTTGAAAGTTTCCAATAAACCCAAATCTGAAACGAGCACGGGTGAGTTTTCAGCACGAAGGCGTCAGAAGCTGAGGCACTGGGCTGAAGTCCCGTATGGAGAGCTCACAGGGATCTGGCCAGAGAGCCTCCCCTCCCACACAAGCCAGGCCATCCAGCAGACCCCAAGCATCCTTCTGAACACCGTGTCACACCCAGCTTGCCTCCCACCACAGCACCTGAACGTTTACCCTCTCTCCAGGGCTGCTTTACAGCCCTGACCAGCAGCGGGTCAGCCGAGCGCCTCATCCAAGCGCGGGGAGCTGAAGGTGCTGCACGGCGTGTGGGCGAGCACAGACCATCTGGCTGCGGTAGGAGCAGATTGCGAGAGGAAGCGACAAGCTGAGGAAGGGCTGAGTAACTTGTCTTGCAGGGAAGAACAGGCAGCACAGAAGAGGGGCAGATTTCACAGAAGTATGCGCCAGAGAGGCTAGCAACAGGCTGAACACGGGCTGAAGCTCTGGCTACTCAGCGAGTCGGGGTGCATCAGTGTAATGAGCTGCAGATTCTTCCCCCAACACCACCGCCACAGCTGAGCACTCTGTGCCCACTCACCAGCCACAGAAATAATGCTGCCTCTGTGGAGTGCAGTTCACCCCTAAGGACTTAACACAGTCAGCATTTGCCTTTGAGAATGGGACTTTGTAATGCTTTTAACTTTTAGGGTTTTCTGCTATTCTTAGTACCTTTGACAGATTTTCCTATTAAGTCACTCTTCTGCTGGATGGTTCCAGCAGCAAGAAGCCAGAAGATCCAGGAGGAGCTGTGCTCTGACACCCCTTTGCCCTTGCTACAGCTGATCCCATGCTAGCACAAAGCTGAAGCCTCAGCTTAACCCAGCTGAGGGACAGAGATAGTGTTCAGGGATTATTCCTACCAACCCCAGTCCCAATCCAAGGGGAGATGAGAAGCCCCTCGGCTTCCCTGTTTAATCCCTACCTGGTGGAAAAAACTCACCCCTCCTTGGCAGAAGCAAGGCTGTGCCCAGTGATGCTGTTGACAGACTGTTGAGGACACCCCTAAAATCTGCAGCACGATGTTAGAGCTGTGCTAATGAAAGCTCCAGCAAACGGTTCCCAGCAGGAGGGTGACAAGCAAGAGGGTGACACGCGTCAGGCTGAGCAAACAGCTTCGGCCTGCAGCTGCGCTGGAGCATCCCTCCTGCTTGGTTAGACGTGGATGTTGGTGCCTTAGTGCTGGTCATCAGCCCACACGCTCAGCTCAGACCCACTCCTTCCTGTCAGCTCCTTGCTTTTCTTAGCCAGAGAGGGAGGTGGCTGCAGAGCCCGAGCCAGGCGTCCCTTCTCCAGCAGAGCGGGGAGAGGGGGCATTGCCACTGGGGTGGAACAGCAAATTCCAAGGGTGCAAGGAGGTATCGCTGCTTTCTGTGGTGGTGAGAACTGCCAACAGGCCTGTTTCTTTCATCCCAACAGGAAAAAACAGACATCAGCATTTGCAGAACAGCTAAAAAAAATTGTCCCCAAGCTTCTCCTTAGCCTGTTGCTCCCTTGTTCCCCATACCCACGTCACAGTAGCCATGAGATGAGGGCACTTCTCACTCATTTCACCTGGCCAAGCAAGGTGGCATAAATCAACAGGCAACTTCAGGGATGATTTCCAATCATTTATTTTGATTCATAATTGCATCCATTTGAAAACATTGGATAAGATGTAAACTGACACACACACATCAGTCCTTTCAACAAAGCTCATAAATGATTCATGAAGTTTCCTCCTAAAGCTTTGGCTAGGGTGGGGGAACACCCCCCCACACTCCCCAAGGCAGACGGTTCTTCTGGAGCCTGTCATTCATTCTCCACGTTATCATTAAAAGCAGTACCATAAAGACAAAGATTTTGGGAGGCTGATTTCCCACACTTCAGAAAGAACCTCGCCTGTCCAGAGGAAGTTTCACTGTACAAACATCCTGGCAGTGGAAGAAAATCCTAGGAAAATGTGGAATGCTTCGCTGAAAGCAATATAGGAGAACACATCCATAATCACACACGCTTCCTGCCCTACCGAGGCAATATACATTCATATAGAAGGAGAAAGTCGAGCACATTATTAAGACATTAGGCAGTGAGGCTGTATCCATTTTATCTCTAGAAGATATTTTACAGCAAATGGTTTCATCAAGACACTTGAAAGCAACCTACTTAGAAGAAAAAAAAAGCACCATCGTAGCATGAAGGCTGAAATGTGATTAGAAGTCACAAGCAGCACCAGCTCAGGCTCACGAGCGACTTTTGTCATCTGAGGATGGGTTAAATGGAGAAAACAGTCAACAGGAGGGCCTGCCACTTGTCTACAAAGCAGCACAATTTCAGAGAGCACACTCGGAGTGTAAAGCCACCAGTTACACACTATCTAATGGGGTGCAGATCTTAGCACAGTCACCAAACTACAGGGTGTCAGCATTTGCACGTAGAGGGCTTAAAACTACAACAGCAGCAACATCGAGACCCCGGCCCTTCAAGAGTCTCCCTGAAGACCACGTTAATTGTGGAACAAAAATGCCTCACAATGTCACGGTTAAAGCAGGAAAAACTCCTCTCCACCTCTAGGTGGGGAAACATCGAGGCTAGATATCACCCAAATCCTTCCCTGCTTCTTATCGGCTCCAGGTCCTCTCTTCCTACATGGGGAAGGCTTGGAAAGGGCCAGCAGCACGCTGTTTGCTTATTGCCACGCAGGTGCCTGCTCTTTTACGGGCAAGGCACTGGTCCCTGCCTTCAGGCCGAACACCTGGCCTGCGATTTGCCTGCCCAGGGTAGTGGGAAAAAGGGAGCCCGAGGACTGACCTGACCCTCCAGCCCTGGCAGGCTGCACTAGGTTTTAATTTTTCAGTGGTCAGTGTTGAGCCCAGCAATAAAATAAAGAAATAAAATAAATAAAAGCCCCTTAGTGCACAAGGGATCCCAACAGTCTGCCCGGGCTGGAAAGTGGAAGAGGGAGCGTTACCCTTCAAAGGCTTCTTGCTGCTTCTCAGGGCTATTAAAAGGAGAGCCCCAGAGCGTGCATCCAAAGCCAGCAACTCTTCCGCTCTTCCAGCCAGCAATAGATCGTGTTACTTTGTGTGTGCCTTGGGAGACGGAAAGCACAACACAAATCCTCTCAGGAAGAAGCCAGGAGGGTAAACAAAACAAAAGCCATGTCCTTAAAGAACAGGTCACCACTGCTATGCAGATTGGAGTGACACGAGCTTCCTATTCACTGGGGAATCTCGGCACCGAGCTCTCCTTGTACAAAACCCCAGCCTTACAACTATTTTACTGGCCTGAACGGTTCTGGCTCCCTTTGGAAGAAGGACAAAAATAAAATTTAACTTTGGCACTTTACCCCACTAATTGGAGTGGGCTTGAAAGTCTACGCTACCAGTGCCACTGAGGCAAAGGACAAGGCCATAGTGGCATGTGGGCTGCAAAGTGCTACCAAATACCTGTGGGACAGTGAGCACTACAGGGCCAGGCACTGCCTGGGGAACACATATGTCAGGGAATTGGTCAGAAGTCTCTTTGTGTGGTCAGGAAGCACAGGAGGCATCCCCTTTACCTCATACAGGATTGCTCACTGGCTGAAAAGGAGTTTGCTGTTTCTGCACAGCCCCATCCTAAGTGCAGCTGCTCCTCAGTTATCTGGTGGGTATAGAAAGTGCAGACGCCACTCGAGGAAAGCGAACAGCGCAAAGAGGGACATGGCCTTCACTTTAAACTGGGACATGTAATCAGGAGCATACACACCAAATACAGCAGGGGTCTCTGGGGACAGCCCTAATTCTGCTGTCTTTTGGCACCATTCGCCTGTTCTTAGGAGAAAAGGTAGTGGGGCTTCTGAATGTGTGACCCCCCAGCTGCTGGCCACCCCTGAACTAACGAGGACGAGGCTCTTCCACTGCTTCTGAATCTTAGGCCTAAGCTCCAACTCTCGTGCCACAGCTGCAGGCTTTTCCAGCCAGACCTTTCTGCAGGGCCAGCGCACAGAAAGGGTTTAAAACAGAAAGCAAAAATCCCACCCACAGAACTAGAAGTCGTCCTCACCAAAGTCTTGTGACCGCAGCTGAAGCTCAAGTCTAGGTAATAATACGGTTGCAGGCTGCTGAGGAACACAACCTTCCTGCAGAACACGTTCAGCACATTCATTCACCTGCCGCCGTGGGTCAGGTGCCCCAAAAGCAGCCAGCTCACACCCCCTCTACCTCCCTACACGTGCAGACACTGAACTGCTCCTCGGCTTCCCGGCCTGAGAAAGCAGAAGCCAGGCAGCGAGGCAGATCCCCCTGACTGGAGCACTTATTAGCAACAAAACCGACCCCACCCAAAACACTGCCTACCAAAGTCGCAGCTACCAGAAGAGTCTGTGCTCCCGCAGACTCCCTCCTTTGCAAGGAGGAAGGAGTCATTTCTGTACAGCAACTGTACCATCAGGCAGCGGTCTGTTTTCCCCTCACACACATTACACATTGCTTCGAAACATCTCCTCCTTCCTCGGTATGTTTACCTGCTGTCTCATGTCAGAATCCATAATCAGAGCAGAAACACTTTGAGGGAGATGAGGCGAGCCGTCAACCCAACAGAAACTCAGCTTACAAAAGAATGACGAGATCAAAGATGACAGCGTCTTCTCACCCAGTCAGAGAGACAGGGCAGGAGCCGAGAGGATCTTACAAAGCCTTACAGGAATGTTGCTCACAAAAGGCACTTAATACAAGCACGAGCATGTATACACAGCTGGATGGAATAGAAAGTGGAAGAAAAAACACACCAGAGAGGAGGGAGCTGCTCAGCAACTGCCTGGACAGTCTCTTTTAGCCAAGGAGCCTGGCTTCTGCAGCAGTGCGTGTTATCTATATTACAAGTTCACCCTCCTGACATCTCCAAAATGCTGCATGTAGGTATGAGCCAGGGATTCCTTAGCCTTTGCAGGAACCAGCACACACGCTGAAGTCCAGCAGCAGGTTCCTCTTGATGCCAGAGTTCGCGCCTAACCCAAAGCCAAGTTCTCAAAGCCTTGTGATCTTCTTCCTGCCAAGCTGAGCCACGTGCAGCTTCTGACAGTGCAAAAAGGCAGCAGGCTCCTGCTCTCCGGGTTTGTGCATATGGCTTAGTGCTTTCCGCAACCTATTGCTGGCCGATGGCACGCAAAGAACCATTCTGCCTGGGAAAGCCTCCGATGTCTGTGACGGCGTGTGCAGCCCACACACCGACCACAAAGGAAGGGTGTGGAGGGGGGAGTTCTAGGGGAAGGGGCCGTTCCCCCGCTAAAGAAAGTCAGTCAACGTCATCTGCAGGAAAAAAGGCTGTCAGACGATGTCTTCGGCAGAGCGCAGCGGAGGTGGAGACCCCAGACTCAGGAAGTGGCCCCAGTTGCATAGAAAGCCCCTGTTGTACTGGCCAGTGTCTATCACTAACCCGCCCAGGAGCCTGCGCCCGGTGTTGTCGCGCAGAGCCAGCCGAGCTTCCCTCTCCGTCACGTTGTAGCTGATGTTCAACAGCTGGATGAGGAGGATGTATCCCATGCCAGCTGTTACAATGGCACAGTACCACACGCAGGTGAACGACAGAGCAGAGCTGGCAGCGGGGAAAGAGACGGGAAGGAAGCCATTTAGTTCTGGAGCAGCTGTTTCAGAGCGACTTTCCCTGGTAATCGCTATCCTTTCAAATCCCCGTCTACATCTGCCGCAGCGATCTCGCCTTGCCGCTTTCATCAGATAATCCTTCAAGGCTTTCTCAAAATTAAAGCTTCATGGCTTACTTACTGACAGCTTTTAGCACTACCAGAGCTACTCCTGCACATTCCTGTCGCGTTACCTAGCTCTTCACTCTCGCTGCTGTAAAAGCTTTACGTGAGGAAGCGATGGTGCTCGCACCTGACAGATGATGGAGTACAGAGGAAGGCAGAGCCACTTGTGCTAGTGTGCTCTGTGCACCGGCAGCACAGCCGGTCTCCGAACACATGTCTGGTGCTTCTCGCCACCCTCCCAGCCAGACAAGGCATATTAATGCTGTCTGTACCGAGCAGATAACTTGGAGCGACAAAGCCACTAGACAAACACCATCTCCTTCCTCAGCGAGGCAGCACGCTGATTCCAGACTGCCAGACTATCGCCCTTCACCGGGAACAACCATCTAAAGGGTGGATCTGTGTAGGACGCAGTAAATAAAGGCTTCAAATCCCAGCTCCTCCAACAGTTTCCTAGACATAAACTCTGAGCTCTCTGAGTCTCAGGCTCCCCACCCTGGGGAAAGCAGAGATGCATCCTTGTTTTCCAGAGCTTTTGAAGGAGTGCTTTTTGATCAGGCTTGACAGCCAACAGCACTGGCCATGAGCACAGAACGAGGAAAGGCAAGGAGCAAAGCTGCCTGCTCAGGCTTGAGATCCCAGCCCAGCCCTCTCCCATGCAGAGGTCTCACCTGTAGTCAGAATAGGCCCCAGGGCAGTAGAACAACGCCACGAACAGGGTTCGTCCCCTACAGACGGTGTCCAGGGTCAGTGTAATCCCGTACACAGAGGTGAGCATGAAGAAGGAGAGCGCAAGGATGAATGCTTGGTGGTTCTGCTCCCCTACACAGCTGTTAATCCTCCAAAAAGGAAAGAAGAAGTTACTTAGCTTGGGAGGAGAAAATACAAAAAGAAAAAAGAAAAGAGCTTGCTTCTTTTTTTCCCCTCCCTCCCCCAACTGTCAGAGAACCTCATCTCCAAGGTCTCACTACAACACAGGCAGCTTCAAAGCAGCTTTACAGCTTTTTATAGAAAGCTTACAGGCACAAGTCAATAGACCAGTACGGTAGGAACGGTACACTATTTGCCTCAGAAACTTATAGGAAGCGTAGTATCCTAAGCTAAGACATTTATACCTGCTGCTCCTTGATTACAGTACTGCGCGCAGGCAGCTTTGGGTTCCCTTGCTCCCAGGTGAGCACTTATGCAAGTTAACTGCGGGCTCGCTAGTGCTCCTCAGACCCAGTGGAAAAAAAAGACAAAAAAGACTTGGAGAACCAGGAGCGATTCTGAAATATGCTGTAGAAATTAGCAGCGGTTGTCCCACTTATACAGCAAATTCACTTTTTGAAAGAGCATCGCTGAACATTTGGAATAGGCTGGGGAAATAAGATGTTAACTTAAAAGAAAAAGGAGAGGAACAAAAAAAAAATACATAGCCTCAGCTGTGCAAAACCTACCAGACACAGTGATGATCCAGTCTCCTCACACACCTGCCACAAAGCCGGCAGTGCCCCGCTCGGGCTGGCCTGACCAGCTGGCATTTCGCACACCAGTCCTTTCTCACACCTTCTGGCCCCTCGGCTGAGGCTCTGGAGTAGCCTTTGGCCTCCCCATTCACAGCACGGCCGCTGGCAGCTCCTGCCGTGGCGACTCCATGGAGCCCGTTGGAGCTCCCTCGAAGGTTCTTGTTGGGAAAATCCTGATGCGATGACTTGGCATCGCCTACTGGGATGGGAAGGTAGCCGGGGTCTTTCTTGGCTCGTAACAAGGCTGCAAGCATGAGAACTAACCCAGAGGTGAGGAGCACCACTTGGGAATGCCCCACCTGGCCTCGGGGAACCACCTCCTGGAGAAAGACATAGTACATGTAGCCCAAGGAGAAGAGTCCCAGGCTCAAGAAGAAGAGAGTCCGCTCCTTCCTCCTGTGGGTGAGGTAGTAATACCACAGCACCACCACGGGAAGAGAAGTCAAGACGACCAGTCCCAGCAGGAAGTGCAGAGCTGCGACGTGGAGGAAGACGGGCAGCAGCACGAGCGGCGGAACGAGGCTGACGTTGATCTTCACGGCCCCCGCAAACCAAGGGACGCGGCAGCGGTCCGCAACGTCGTCGACGATCCTCTCCAGAGCTCCCGGGGGCAGGGACCTGCAGGTCAGCCACCTGTCGGGAGGGAAAACACAGCGAAGGGAATAAACACACGGGGAACACCTGTGGGGATCTCTCTGTGGAGAAAAGGCGGCCACCCCCCTTTAAGTGGGAGCAAGGGGGCTGGAAACTTTCCAAAGAGGAAAAGGGAGGGCAGGAGAGCGGGGATGCGCTGAGGGGGTCCCAACGGGCGGTTCCCTGAGGGAGCCTCAACGGTCGCTGTGCTGTGGGGGGGGGGTCCTAACGGTCGCTTCTCTGAGGGGATTCTGTGAGGGGACCCTAACGGTCGTTTCTGATGGGATTCTCTGAGGGGACCCCAACGGTCACTTCTCTGAGGGGACTCTCTGAGGGGACCCCAACGGTCGCGGGCGGTTTGGGGGGGGGGGTCCTAACGGTCGCTTCTCTGAGGTGATTCTCTGAGGGGACCCCAACGGTCGCTCCCCTGAGGGGACTCTGTGAGGGCAGGGGGTTGCCCCGCAGCCGTTACCTGTCGCAGCCCTCGTCCAGCTCCCGGCAGTCGCAGCAGCACGCCGCCAGGTGGTTCCGCCGGCCCCGCCGGTCCACGTACTCGCAGCAGCACAGCGGCTCCTCCATCGCCGCCGCCGCCTCCCTGCCTCTCTCCTTCCTCCCCTCCCTCCCCGCCGTGCCCCGGCCCTGAGGGGAGGGACGGGACCGGGAAGGGAGGGGGGGGGCGGCCGCACCTCTCCTCCCGCCCCGCCCCCGCCCCCTCCCCTCAGCAGGTGCCTCGCGCCCGCCCCCGCCTCCTCCCCGCAGGCCCCGCCCCCCTCCGCCGGAGCCCGGCTGCTATTGGCCCTCCCGCCCGCCAGGCCCCGCCCACAACGCGGAGGTGTGCCGGGTTTTCCCCCCCCCGGCCTCGGGGCCCGAATAACTGACGGCGGGACGGGCCAATGGCTGCGCGGGAGGGGCGGGGCTAAGAGTGACGTAGCGGCACCTGGCGTAAAGGGGCCGCGATTTTCCCACGCGGGTCATTCATTCATTGGCGGCGCGGCCCCACAGCCGCTATGGGGTCGGGATGGGATCGGGGGGACCTCGCCCTTTGCACTCCAGGCCCGTTCCCAGCGGCACAGGGCTCCTAACAAACCCAGCTCGCTGCCTGAAGAGCTGCGTGCTGCTGGGCACAGCCCCCCAAAATATAGGGGTGCCCCTACAGGAGCGCAGCCCCCAAAATAAGGGGGTATCCCCTACACAGGGGCACCCCCCTATAGGAGCGCAGAGCCACGTGCTGCTTCTAGAAAGCTTTATTCCGTGCGGCTGCGGAGCCACCATAGAAAAAGAGTCCGGAGGGGATGAGTAAAGTCCCTGCCCCATGAGTCCTCCTCGAGCACGCGTCTCCTTGGGGCCGAGGCTTGGGGTGGGCATTAGCTGTCGGGCTTGCTGCTCTGGGTCCTGTTCAGGTGATCAAAGCTTCTCTGGAGCATGGAGAGGGAGAGCTTCAGCTGGGGAAATAAACAGTGAATCAATTAATCCGCTGGTAAGGGCCATCAGGAAAATCCCATTCCCCTCCCTCCTCTTCTTAGTGGGATTCCACCCCATTTCCTGCTCCTTTTCTCTATAAAAGGATCACTGTACTCTGCGTTCTTAACAGCTACACTCCGTGCAGTTCATCATACCATACTGTTAGTAATTATTAACTTCATAATTCCTAACATTACAGTATGATTAAGTCCTAACACCCTGCTAGACAACAGCACAGAGAAGTTTCCCCACTCATTTCCAGTCATTGTTGACGTTCACAGCAAATACTTGAAGGAAAATGGCAGCAAGGCATAATCAATCTTTTTCTTTTTTCCAATTTATTTTTTAATACCCAGCCCTCCCAGTGCATTTTCATGCACAAGACGCAATTAGGTTGCTGACAACCCTCAGCAAACACAAGGTGAAAGGACACTTTTGAGGCGTGACTTCCCCACAGAAGCGTTACTTAGGGCGGGAGAGGTGGCTGAGTTCTCACTCCACCTTTTAAAAGTTTTCACACTGCGAGCGTTCAAAAAGGCAGTTTAACACTTCAGCATTCACAATTGTTTGGGTAGGAGGCAAAGAAGCTGAAGAGGGAATGGAAACCAGGGAATTTGTTTCCCCAGTGAAGTCTCCAGCAATTGGAAGCATTTCAAGTTGTGCCCAAAACGGTTAACAAATTAATAGCAGCTTTTTGTGCAGAGACACCTCTAAACAGGGAATATCAAAATTGGCTTTTTTCCACCCTCCTTTAGTGCGTGGGAGAGCACAGAGCAAACTGCTGATGGATAGAGCTACATGTGAACTCCCCCACAGCTTTCCTAATCTAATAATTTCTTCTGTCACATTTTAAGATTTAATAAAAAGAGCTTAAAAGCAGAACATTCAGAGGTTATAAGTAGAAAGTGCTGTATGAATTCACTGTCCTTCACTTGTAGAGTTGTAATTTCAGCCTAGAGGTTTAGCAGTTGTTGACTTCAGGACCAGATCACTAAGGATTAGTGAAGCTCTCACCATCTCGATGGGTAGAGGGGAGCAAAAGCCTAGATAAACCTGCCTCAATAAACCACGGTGAGGTAAGCAAGTACTTAGTTATGAGTCTTCTCAGGAAAGAGGATCTGTTTTGAATCTTTGCTTTGTCACAATTCAAAAATCCATCAACAGATCTCATCAATAAAAGGTACTTGACAGGCTTAAGAAAATTGATATGACCCTTTAATTCTAGCCCAAAGAAAAAAAATCCATCAGAAACATGAGCACTGCCTTTGTACCAAATTCAAGCCTAGGACAAAACTGAGGCCAAGGAAGAATGAAACTTTAGTTAGCACCAGAAAACATTAAACAAAGGTTATCCTGGCATAAGGGAGAAAACTTGAGCTGTTGAAAAACAAAAGTATCACCAGGAAAGACTGGCAGACTTACCTGCTCAAGCATTTCAATTGAGTCTCTTAGTACTCCCTTCACGTGTTTAACCTGTTCCTTATCGTATTGAGGGATCTCCTCTTTTGATACCATTTCTGGGGATATGCTGAAAGAGATTGAGATTGCATCAGGCACATGAAACAAGCACCTCCCTGTGCCTATCCACCAAAAAGCAATTACTCTACCACCACTGCTAAGAACATCCTTTTCCCAAAGCCACATAAAAAGGTGTCTGCAGTTCGATTCTGCTTCCTGTTGACTTGAAGGTACTGTCTCAGACCCTTGTAGTGGCAGTCACCAAGAACAAAATGTGCTCATGTTACATCAACAATTTAAATTCTCACAGCTAAGGTCACAGAATCACAGAATAACTGAGTTGGAAGGGACCCACAAGGGTCATTGAGTCCAACTCCTGGGTCCCCAAAAGACCAAGATGGTGAGATCTTTTAAATCAGTTCTGAGATCTTCATCATGGGAAGTCACCACACTGCCTCCATACTCAAGATTAGGTTATCATTTGTAACTTGCTTGCCTACAACACATCGATGACAGGGAGCAACACCTGAGCCTCTTAAAGAGATCTGAAGATGAAAGGCATCTAACACGTAAGTCTGAGGGGGAGAAGGAATTTTGCAAGAGATGCGCAGAGATGGAAGCTAAAAAGCTAAGTGAATCTTTAACATGATGTTTGAGATCATGCTGGTTCACACAGGATGAAGCGAATACTTCAGTTCTGTGATCAGCACTACAATATTCACAGCAGATGAGTCACAGCAGGGTGATAAATGCAAGCTAAGGTTAACGCTTCCCCAAAAAACAGCTTGTCAAAGGAGAAATTTATTACTGCAAAATGCAGTCAGACATGTCACTGGATATCAGCATAGACCACAGAAGAGCAACGAGCCCTAACAGCGTTTGAAAACGTACCGCCAGGTTTCATTGTTTGAAATCTATTTCTTTAAATCAGATTCTGTCACAAGCCGAGGAAGAACAAAAGCAAAGAATGGGCATTCAACTTACTTCAAAGAGCTTTCTTCCTGAAGCTGGACATGATAGAGAGACTGAGCTGCGTGCTCTATCTTTGACAGTTTGAGAAACAGCGTTATGTTCAGCAAAACCAACAGCAGCAAACTGCAGAGAGAACAGAACAAAATTAAGTCAGGCTTTGTCATTACTGTTAGAATGCTACAGAAGTGAGACCTGGGCTACAAACATCTGGGGAAAGTGAATGCTTCTGGGGCAAAAGGGCACAGGGCAGTGCTGTACTGAAAAGAAAGATTTACCTAAACAACTCTTAGCAGTTAGCTTTAAGCTGTGCCATAGCAACCTACATGAAGGGACAGCAGTGCCTCCTCTGGAGCTTTTTGTTTTGTAGGAGCAGATATAGGTAAACCTACAACAGACCAGTTTGTCAAAGCAGCATTTTCATTCCCTCTGTCACTTCTTAAGTCTATCCATTTCCCCTTCAACCCAAGTTTCTATATTTACATTCAAATAAGTTAGGATTTATCATGCTACATGCAATGCTAACATGCAAGTGAGGTAGGTAGAGGCCGATACAGATAAACACCAAGATGAGATTGAGATAAACCATGTTTTAATGCAAGTACTTACAAGACACTCATTACTACAATGATGGTGGTGGTCCTATTTACAGGATCTCTTTTCCTTCCTAGAGGGCATGGAAGAAAAGGAGGTTATAAAGTCCTGAAGAACACCCCTAACAGGTATGTCAGTGCCCAGCATTTCACACAACTGCTCATCAGGTTCTGATGGAAGTAACAGATCACTCAGGTGCACAAGTTTCTCTCCAGTTTCTCTCTGAATGCACCCAGTCATTTCTGCAGTCATCTCAGCCATGTCAGACAGCCAGGCTTTTACATCGGGAGCACTCCCCCGACCCCAGTTTGCTGCAGAGAACACAGCTCTAGGATGTGTCACATTAAACCCGCATAGCCTGAGGATGCTGCAGCCCATGCATTACCACCACTCATTCAGCACACACACCACCAGTCCCGTATTAGCAGTCTGCAACATTGCTGTCTTTTGCTTGTTCTCCTGACCAAATGAGACTTCCTGTCAACAAATGCTAAATCAAATTCCCCTTTAACTCGTCCCATCTGAAACATTTTTGTACTGACTGTTTCAAAAGGGTGAAGAGCATCTGCTAGTTGTCAGGCAGTGACCTACAACTAGTGAAGACAGCAAGCGTGTGCTGCTCAGCTTGGAGAAGACATGCACTCACCTACTACTGTGGGCAGGCTGATATTTAAACTTAATTACCTGTTCCCCTGAACAGCTCCTTAAGCTCACAGTTCCTGTGCTGGACAAGGGGCATACATCAAAGCTGTACTATGCACCAATACAGATACTCGCCCAAAGGCTGGAGCATGAGTGGCTAAATTAAGCTTTCAGGAAGTAATCTCAGATGAGGAAGAGTCCACTACACATGGTGTTGATCCAAATGCTCTCTTGGTGCTATAGTGTTGTCTCCCCCCTCCAAGGAAGGGCATTTACTCCTTCAGTGTTTACAATTCAACTCATGTCATGAAATCACCATTCTCTGGTAAACACAAGTATGTCAGATATTCCTCCTCTCTAAGTGTAGCTAACAGAGTATGCCAGAGTCCAAGTCTCTCATACTCAGTGGCAATAAAACTACAAGAAATGCTTCAGTAACACAGAAGTTACAAAAGCAGACAGAAAATGGACACCAACATTACCAACAAAATCAAGCATGAGGTGATAGGGCCAAGCAGTGAGTGACAGTTAATCATCTCACAACTCAGATGTGCAGTCTGAAGAAATAAACCGAAGCATATTTTCAGGAACTTTGCAAAAATCAGATTACATCTGTTTCTGATCCCATCTCGTTTTCAATCCCACACAGGTTCTGTGCAGCATTTTAGGATTTTATTTTAATTTTTAAAAATGGAAGGGAGGATTAGGTTTGATTGCATCGTGTACTCCCTATAATAGTGACTATGCATGTCCCTAATTTATTTTATGCAAGGTTGAACACACTAAAACATTTGCTATCACACCAATCAGATAAAAACAAGAGCATTATACACACAAGTGTTACTCTGGCACTACTGTAAGATTTAAACTTCCTTGAACACTCCTTATGGAAAATAATGGGTATAAAAGTGTGGATACAAGGACTCCTACCTATTATGCTGCCCTGGGACTCCAGCCCCATGTCACCAGAGGAGTGCTGGGAGGAGCGTTTGGGAAGCGATTCTGCCAGACTCCGGTGTAAAGTGCGTCGTCTGCGTCTCAAGGCAACTAATTTTCCAGTATCTTCTATGGATTGGTTAAGTGCATATTCCTCCATTAGCAGATCTGATTCTGCAGTAAAAAAAAAAGTTCATGAACTTTAAAAAAAAGCCAAAAAGGCAAGCACTGAAGACTTAAATTGCAAACAAGCTGTGAAGGGTGGCGGTGAAAAGAGTAAGTACATCTTCTAGTAAATGAACTTAAGTCAGGTAATTGACATAACTCTGCCTTAACCTATACTGGTCACCTTCTTTGCTATATGGCACGTTGTGCACTTGTCGGATCTGATGCACACTCAGGCTATGTAGGATTGTTTATTGTGTTAGACTGCAGTTAGGAGGAACACTTCCAGACACTGTTAAATCGAGATTAGGAATTGTGTTAGACTGAGCCAGCACACGGCTGGCCAGGCTGTTAGCAGCCATAGCCAGGGAGCCTGCCAGGTGCCACTGCTCCTCTTCTCATACCCACAATCAAGGAAATACTTGTGTTAGAGACAGGGATACGCAGTTGAGAGGAAAAGCTTTTCTCCTGCTTCCTTCAGAGAGCAATTGCTGACAAAGCATGCAAGAGCTTTTGGAAGGCATTATGCTGCCAGGCGTCTTTTACACCCCCAGAACTGACAGATGTATTGATAACAAGAGATCCCTTTGGTTGAAACCTTCTTTTCAAACCATTCTTTAAGGAATCAAGCTTGACACAGATGAAAACATGCATAGGGGAGGTAGCCTCCTTACTCCACCAAAGAGAAGAAAATGCCTCACCAAGCTGTTTAAAGTTCTCCTGTATTCCTCCCCAGGTGTTCTTCTCGATTACAGACTTCACCAGGCCCCAAGGCTGCTTTTTGTACTTCACTTCTGCAGAAACCCTAAGAAACAGAACACAACAGTGAAGAAAAAGCGTTCTGCTAGGCAGCACAGTGATAGCAGAAATCTCTTATCAGAGGCAAGCCCCTAGCTTATGTCCATAACCTGAAATACCAACTGGAAGTGCCTTGATTTTCTACCTGAGCAGCACTTACACTGAAGCGAGGCAAGAGACAGACACGGGCAAAGACAACACATCAAGCTAAAAGCCTCAGGAGATCCAAACGTCCAAGTCATTGGAAATGTTCTCAAGTCATTTTGAAGTCTGTTTTCTTCTCAGACTCAGAGCAGCGGGGTATTTCTCTCCCACGAACTGTTCTGACTTTAACAAACATTTAAAATAACCTTACAAATAGTTCTGCTTTTTACTCTGTATACATACACGTGGTATACTACATGGGCACAACAGCAGCAGCAGGTGAAATTCATTACCATGCATCCAGTACTCAGATCCTACCCCGAGGAGACAGAAATTAAACTCACTCTCTGTAAGCATGACAGAGGAAGTGACATTCCTGCCTGGCGTCTCCCAGGTTAACCTAGGCAATAATGCTTCCAGAACGGGAAGGTACTGGAACAGAACCCTGCAGGGGGCTTGTTCAGACAACTGAGTGAATCTTAAAGCTCTTCAAAAAGATAGCTCGTGATCTTTACTTAAATCCATAACGCTGACCTTACTGGAATACTTGCCCAGCTTTTTCAAGTAATCATTCCAAGAAACATGCCCACCAAGTCCCTACTCTAACAAAACAAAAACCTTTCAATTACTTTCTGAGCTGTTTTAAACAGTGTAATATAAAGCCAGCTGTAGCACCAACATGCACTTTGTTCTATACATTCATCCTCTTTACACTGTATTGAAACCCTGGGTTTTGCACTTATCTTAGGGTTGTCATGCACCTCGAAAAAACAAATAGAGCCCTCAAATAGGAAGAATGACTCACTCTAAGTCATCCAGAACAGTTGTTCAAGGACCCTTCTCCCTCCCAGAGGAAGAGGGAGTCTTCAGCACTTTTACAGCCTAAGATAAACCAGAAGGAAATCCAGGCTTGCTTACCTTACCTGTGTTCTGATAAAGTTTGAGATAAAAGGAATTACTAAGGACAACACTAAAAAATGCTACCAAGCATTACATAGTCACACAAATGCAGCCAACAAGGAACTTGATCACTTCAAACGTCTTCAAATGGGAGAGGAAAGGGCCTTACAACACCCCACCTACCTAAAAAGTCTAATAATGAAGTCTAGCAATGATTTGCTCAAGTACCCCCACTGCAACGACAAGTATGCTTCATATTCCTATGAAACTACTCTCCTCTGCAGGCCTTTAAGCAATGATACCTCAGAAACTTTGTCTGAAAACATCTGTCATAGTTCTAATTTATCTCACTCGCACAACTGCACTCAAAAACCCGATGCTGATCAGAACCCAGTCCACAGCCTTGGAGATGAGCTCTGCATCTTGTAACATCAACAACCAAGACTTCATTTCTCACCGAATTAATCATACCCAAGTACAGCATACATATGACAGGAGATAGAACAAGCTTATTTTTCAGAAGAGATCCCCAGCTTCAAGAGAAACCAAGCACCCTTTATGTTGCAGGCAGATCTTTTGATAAGCAGATTTCAGCAGCCTGCACCACAGATGCCTCCGAGTCCTCAGCTCCTGCTGCACATCGCTCAGGCTCACCGTAATCGACATTTGTGGCTGGACGTGCGGCTGATGCAGTATCGGTTCACAGTGTAGAAGTAATCATGGTAGGGGACGTCGTGGGTCAGTACTTCAGCATCCACCTGATAAGACTGACCTTTCTGGCTCTGCTTATGCAGGATCTATGAGAAAAGAAAGCAAAAAGGAGTAAGTATATTCACGGTGTTTGATTATTATTTTTTTTTTTCCAACCCCTTCAGCCTCAATTCTTTAGGTTAGGCCAACCAACTCCAAGCGAACTGGAGTAGGGAGAAAGCCTGAACAACCATGAGAGAAGGCAGTTAAGGATGTCAAGAGATGACACCTCCAGCTAAAGCCAGCTCAGGCTGTGCAGAAGCAGTACACTATCCCTTCTCCACTCAAATATCAAGTACCAAATGCAAGACCGGCCACCGACTCATGACCACACTTCTTTGAGAATGAGCTATGAGACCTTTCCCAAACCAGAACCACAGAAGAGTTAAGGTTGGAAGGGACCTCTGGAGGTTATCTGGTCCAACCACCATGCTCAAGCAGGGCCACCTAGCACAGGCTGCCCTAGAAGATGTCCAGACAGTTTTTGAAGATCTCTTTCAAGGAAGGCTCCACAACCAGGCGAACTGTTCCAGTGCTCTGTCACCCTCACAATACAAAGTGTCTCCTAATGTTCAGAAGAAACCTCTTATGCCTGCTGCCTGTTGTCCCACCACCACTGAAAAGAGCCTGGCTCCATCCTCTTTCCACCCTCCCTTCAGGTATTTTATATGTATCAATAGGATCCCCACCCCAAGCCTTCTCCTCTCCAGGCTGAAGAGTCCCAGCCCTCTCGGCCTTTCCTCATAGGAGAGATGCTCCTGCCCTTCATCTTTGTGGCCCTTCACTGGACTCTCTCCAAAAACACCATCCCTCTTTTACTGGGGAGCCCAGAACTAGACACTGAAAGAAGATTACTCCATCTTTTCTGACTATCCCCCAGGGTATACACAAGATTAACGCTACTCCCCACAGTCTGTGGGAGATCCTCACAGCCACGTGTAAGACCAAAGAAGTCAGAGAAGCTTTCTGCATTTGGTCATTAATGGTGAAAGAGGCAGAAAGACACCCTTCAAGACACTGTATTTAAACTGCAGATCCACATTCAGCTCTCTGAACTCTGAGCCACGGTCAGATCTCTGACAAGACTGTAGAGCTCACCCCTTCCTTGCTTTAAAGGGCACCAAACAGACACACATGAAGACAGTACCTGCTTTTCAGTGGCGGTTGTGAACTTCCCACAGAGAGGATTGTTAATCGTTACAGTGTATGTCAAAGTCCTCAGCTGATTGCCACTGGAATCTCTATTCCAAGGGGTCGACACAGCATCTAGATGAGAAATTATGCAAAATCTCACATGCAGATCACCTGAAAGGCACCATCTCTGCCCTTTCACATCTTAAATCACAGTTTAAAAACAGCACTGGGGAGAGAGACAAAACTGTTTCCAAGTGGTTGTGTGCTTTTTGCATAAAAAGTGAAAATTTTATTTCATTCAATGAGCGAAGGTGAGGCGGTAAGAAGCTGAACCTAAGTCCACTGAAAGAGACTTGGGGATGCAGAGAAGAGTAAGCAAATAAACGAAAATATACCATTTCCTATCTGCTTAAAGTTGAAAGGATTCATCTAGCATTATCAAATTGCTTTTGCCACTTTGCCTTCCAAGCTAACACTGAATAAATATTACCCTTTTCAGCTTAGTTTTCTTACCTTATGATCTCAATGAATAAAGTTTACTCATCCAGAAAATTAAAGCCTGAGAACATCATTTAGGAGGATGCAGCAATTTCATCTGTGTGCCAACTGCACAGACTTCACTATTTCTGGGACACAATGGGACTGGAAATACCTCACAGAATGCAACAATTTAGGCATTAAAGTGCAGTTTTGTTGTGCATTGAAATGAGGTTCTTACTCAGAAACATGACTGATCTACAGAGACAGGCTAGCTTTTAATATTGGCTTTTACAGCAGAACTTGAGAGCTTCAAAATTCTTTTAAAGCAAGGAGAAACCTAAAATTCAAACTCAGCCCTATTTATCATTTCTCAGAGGTGGAACTTTTCAGGATAAGTTGCAACACAGACAGAAGGGAGAAGAGTGCATTACCTACTATACTCCTGGAATTGAGAAACCTCTGCATGAAGTGAGAATTGGTGAAGAGGATTTCAAACATCTTGTCTGCAGTGATGTGGAAAACTCTGTTTATGAAAAGTCTCCCAAAGAGATCATTCTCAGAGACAGTCTCCTTCACAGCTACGGAAAGACAGAGAGATTGGGTTAAAAAATAAAGGATTATTATAAAGTCCTTTTTTGTTTGTTTGTTTGTTAATAGCACTAAGCTTTATTATATCATATCCTTCCCAAGCTTGCGTCAGCAATTATTTCTTACTCTCAGAAACCCAGAAGTGACAGCAGCACATTTTTCTGTAGTAAGGTGGTCTTTGGGAACAAAGTCTAGAGCTGGTTTTCTAGCCCACCTCTCACTATTTCCCTGTACGAGTCGATAAGTCAACATCACAAGATCCTATTGCTTGAATTTTGCCTTCAGAGCTCTACTGATCCTACAGGACACACTGGAGAAGACAGAGCCAGCACAATCCTCATTTAATGTGTGCCTATTAGAGAAAGGACATGTGCGTAGCAAGCAGGACAGTGAGAGCATAAATAGTTTTCGTTTTTGCTTGTGGCTAATATCCAAATTCTGCTTCTAACATCTGTACTGCTGGTACTGTCCACACCAAGAGACCAGGGACAGACCTTTCCTCAAAGTGTTCCTTCCTCCATACCTATTGCAAGGGGAACACAAGGAGTACCCTGCTCCATTTTGCAGGGCTGCAAAGCACACCAGGATGTTTTATCACCCTCCCTATGTCAAACCACCACCAAGCACCCCAAAGGTGTTCTGTGGTCCCAGCACTGAGCTTTGTTTCTGCTGCCTGTTGGTTGCTGGCATGAGTCAGCTTTGTGGCTGTTACAGCCACTCTCTCAATAGATAAGGGACAGAATCATAATCCTGGAGGGACAGCAGTTTCCTGTGCCAACCCCAACTCTGTCTGCTCATGCTTTAGAAACAAGACCGTTCTAGTTTATTACCAAAAAAAAGAAAAAGTGTACAAAAATCCTAAACACCCAACCCCACACACCAAAACCAGGCAAAATGTCTGAAAATAAAGCTTTTGGAAGCAAAACAGAAGTCAGGACGCCTAACCTTTCAACTGATATGAGTGAGTTCTCAGAGCTATCAAAGGTCATTGCCAGCAACCAAAACAAAGGTAGCTTGAATATCATGCTACAGGTCACAAACCGCCTGCAGGCGAAGGTTACAGCCCTTAGAACATGATTTCATAGCAGTCAGTATCAATAAATGCAAGCGTAGCAAATAACCATAACAGGTCTGCAGTGAAACCCAGTTCTGATGCTGCTCCAGCACTGCTTCCAGCCTGTTTAAAGTCCCCACTACACACACGTCTCCAAAAAAGTTCTTGGACCCTAAGCATGACCCCAAAGTGAAGCGTGAGTGATATCTTTATGCTTGCAGGGGAGATGACCTTCCTGTGCTGCTTTCTGCTGATACAATTCCAAGGTGGGACAGGAAGCCAGCAGGCATTCTGAGACCTATTTAACCAACCAACATGCACTCCTTATTTGCTAGAATACAGATTCAGCTGTGTTGAAACATTCTGCAGGAAGCTAGAAATTCAGGTTGGGTTTTCAGTTTACATTCACTGTATTTCCTCTCTGAGGTGAGCCTAGTTCCATCAAAACTCAGTGAACTGTAAGTGACCTCAGCTAGCAAGGCCTCGATGCTGCAGACCTCATCTCAAAATGCACTCCCCACTTCCCCTCTTTTGCTAAGAGAAGGAGAGGAAGCTTCAGGTGTTCTGATGCTGCCATCCCCTTTGACTACTGGGCATCAGCCAGCTTGTATGGAGCCAGGCAGCAGATAACTCAAAGCTCATGCATTATTACTTTAAGGTCTGGACCTTGCTACTGGAATATTTTACTCTTCAAGCATGAAGCCTCTCCTCAAGGCTCAAATCCAACAGCCAGAGTATCCATGGATCTATAATGTTTTAATTTATAGGCAGTTTCCTGTTAGCTGATTTGCCTACACTTTTTCTATCTAGTTATAGCTCTGTAAGGAGCAGTCAGCGAGCTGCCAAGTGCATGAAAGCATCTATTGAGAAGTGTTTTTAGTTACAGTCTCTCAGCTCCTGAAAAATTGGTGTTATCGCAGAAGAGTATTTTCAGAAAACCCAAGCTGAAACTAGGCTGATATAATCAGGCTAATCAGCTACTTTAGATACTACTGTTTAAACAGCTATTTTATCTGAAACGTTTCCAGGCTTTCTGAAAGAGGCCTGGAAAAAACGTGTGTATGAAAGCCTCTGAATTCCACACCTGCAGGAGCCGGTCACTGCATATACCAAGAGCTTGACAAACTTTAAGTCCCTTCCATCTGGGCTTCTCAGTGTTTAGCTGCAGGAATCCCACATGAAGCAGTGAGCACCAACAGCAGCATAGCAAGAATAAATGTACAGATTAAATAAATATTCAGATTATACACTTGCAGTTTGGACAGAATAGAAAGCTTTAAACACTTGACTTTGTTACAAATATACGTATTTGTCTTTTTTGGTTTAATTAAGATGTAGGAAGCTTACCTGTATGAGTTATCACAATTCTAGAGCAACATGGAGTATTTTCTACCTAGAACTAGCTTAGAAATACTGTTTATGAAAAAGTGTTTTTATTCCCAGGCATATATCAGTCTAACTCCTTAACTCTTAGTGCTGTTCTTAGCAGTATGTAATTATCAGCCACTAACTCGCTCAGCCTGAAAACATTTATAGATGAATTGGAGTAACTGATAAGAGAACATGAAATCACTCTGATTTTAGGTTAAGACCCCTAGGGACCCCAAAACCCCAAGCAAATGTTACCCTGAGTGTCCTGGTTCTGCAAGAAGGCAGCAAGTCCGCTCCCTCCCCCACTGCTGCCTTGCACTTTGTAAGGTCATTTTCATCACTGTATGGCAAGCTGTGAAATGCTGTTTGCATATAATACCATTATGCGCCAGTGATTGCAGAGGTTTGAAAACATCTGCAGTGCAAGACAAGAAAGAAAAAAACCTCAAGGAGTTGTAGAGGAGTCAGGAAAAAAAATAAATCTGTTTTTTCAATTCCCATTAACAATCAACAGCTTGCGAAGCTCAACACATACCGTAAGCAAATAAAAAAAGTTAAACCACTAAGAACAGACTATCAAAAAGATTTGAGGTGACTGATTCTTCCACTCCACAGAGCTGGAAGAGGAGCAGGAGAAAAAAAAAAACATACACACAACTCTTGGTGCTGTTTGGGATTTCCATGCCACTGGGGATGGAGGGGGAAATATTGCACGCTGAGAATAATGCACAGGTCAGAGACTTAGAACAGATGCACCTGAAATCAAGTTGTTAAAACTAATTCCTAGAGTGAACATCTTCCAGCCACCATCTATTTAAAGACCGCATCAGCAGTCGTGATTACCAAATAACTCTCCTATACTTTAAAAGGCTAAGTACCAAATTAGCTTTGGGGAAGTACTGAAAAATACTGTGACAGTGCAAGCTTTTTTCCTGATCACAAGGAAAGCTTACGCCTTATGCCTTTAGATAATTCACAACAAATATTCCTTCAAATCCCAAAGCAACAGATTATTGGCAGCCAGATATTTAACAGAGTACGTGCTTTAAATATTGTGATTATAATGTCAGCAAGGTAACAGGGCTATTCTTCTGTACATGCACTGTATATCCACAATTTCAGCTCTTGAAAAAAAAGCAGGCTGAACTCCTTTCAACCCTTCCACATCCTATATCCCTACCAGCAAGAAAAGCCACACCACCACTGCACCCACCTCCCAGCATCAGAGCACAAGCAGTTATGCTCTCCTGCAGACCACGCATTTAGGGTGGTTATTAACGCGCACAGAAACACCACAGTAAGTCAAGCAAGGAGGTCAGGAATTATGAGGCCCCCCATACACAGTAAGGCTTTCTAACAGTATTTTTCAATATTCTACTTCTCCCTTCTTTCTTCGAGGCATTTGATGCTGCTGAGCATTATAGTTGCATATAGAAACCCTACACCCAACGCAGGCAGTCCTTTGAGGAAACTCAGAATCTGATGCTTCTATATTGGGAACGCATTCTGTGCTTGAGCTAAAATTTCTTTTCTGAAATTTATCGTTGAGACTGCAGATATTAACTTCTGTCTCAGCCAAGAGTTTGTCACGGCCCAAGATTTATACTCCAGTTTATGAAACCAAACTAAAACACCAAGGTACAGGTCACTGAGCCAGTGGTGTGTGGTGAGAGACCCCTTCCAGTGTGAATGCAATGTGAAAATCATGAAGGACAAGGAGCTGCCAAGGTTCTGGCACTCCAGCTTTTGGTGTCAGGTGGACATGAAGTTGGAGAACAAGTCTTGAGCTTGCCCCCTCACCTTATTTGCCAGGACACCTCCATGGGCAGCCTGAGCAGGAGCCAGAAGATACAAGAGAGATTAATTGCATGGGTAACCCTTTGCTGTGTGGGAAAGCTAATTTCATCTGAATGAAGGAGCTCACCTTCTAGGAGTGTGGGGCAATCGCAATAGAAAACAGGCAGAGAAGCAGAAGAAAAAAATTCTAAGCATGAGGAGAGTGATCTGCGAGAAAAGATTAATGTTGTGGGACTAGAAAATCCTGCTCCGAATAAAGGAGACTCATCTTGGGGGAGGGAGGAGAAATAAGAGCAGCATGAATTCAGTCCTCTTTTAAAGGGACATCTCCAGTTTAATAGGCTTTGTTTGCTGAGTATCACCAGCACAGGGATGACGGCTGGGATTTGCTTTATCATTTAGGCAAGCAGGACTATTTTCAACCCATTTCACTGGATACCTTCACCATTTAAAAATCCAAGGGTATCCAAAATAGCTAAAACATCAGAAAACTGAAACTTTCTGCAGCTTTAAGAGATATACCTGCGACTGAGTTAACGTGTAAAGCTCGTTCAATGCATAGGGGCATAACCAGAAACTCATTCAAATACGCAGACTCACAAAAATGATACAGCTTGACATCCACCAAGCTGAATCCCAACACCAGCAAGCAGATACAGTACTGGGGAGCAAAGAGAAAGGTAACTGAAACATAAAGTACATCCTCAGGCAAAGCTCACACCTTGCAGATGGCCAGATCAATCCACGGCTTTGAAAGCTTTCCTCACTCCAGCAATCCCAACTTGATAGCACCTGCACACACCTTCCATTGCCAATTCTA